AATATCTCTTTCAAGTGCTTTAGGCCCTGGAATGAGCAATGACATCATAGGTCTTTCATACACTTCCATGAAGGCAAATTGTAAGGGACAAGTACCACCAGCCACATGCTATAAGATATATTCATGTTCCCAAAATGATTAAAACCATCAGTTGCAATACCCATCCGGACATTTCGGAGATCTTGTATAAATGAAGGGTATATCTTGTCAAATTCCTTCTAAGATTCAAAATCAGCAGGATGCCTCAACATATCTTTTGTATTTAATCATTTTTCCTTATGCCACTTCATATCTTCAACTATGTGCCTTGACATTAAAAGTCGTTGGAGTCTAGGTTTCAATGGGAAGTAATGCATAACCTTATGTGCAATTTTTTTACCTTTTCCATCATTAATTTGATATCTAGGTTCATGACATACAGGACATTTATGAGCATTCGCATGCTCCTTCCAAAATAATGCACAATCTAACCTACATGCATGTATTGATTAATATCCTAATTATTGCATAATTTTTCTAGCTTTGTAGCAGGATTCGAGGAGATTGGATCCTATAGGCAACACACTTTTTATCAACTGTATTATCAAGTCACATGATTTGTCAGTCATGTGACTGATGGCTTTTATATGCATCAATTTAACTATGAACTCTAGGACTAGGATGTTGGTGCACCCTGGATACAATTCTTGTTGAGCATATGCAAACAACTCATCAAATTTCTCGTAGTCTACGCTCCTAAGATTCTGGGCTGTACTACCACCTACATTTGATGAATCAACGTTCATATGCATGTTTACTAGACCACGAGCATCATTCAACATTTCCATGATTTCATCGTCATCTTCTTATTCATTGTCCACTTCATCACTAGACATGTCGTCAAATATGGTTCCTAGATTCATGTGTTCCCCGTGAAAAGTCCATACATCTTAACTTCTTGAAAACCCATGTCTATACAAATGTAGCTGAATGGTGTATATATCATGTGATCTTGTATTCAAACAAGTTCTACATGGGCAACAAGTCTTACCCTCACTATCCAAATGTTGTTTTGGAATGTCTATGAAAAAGTCAATTCCCTAAATATATTCATTGCACAACCTATTAGACAACCAAATCCATCTTCTATCCACTGTGACCTTCTAGGTTCACAAACAAAATATAAATTCAGTATCATAAATTTGTGTCATCAACTTCTAATATAACTACCTAAGTTTACTAACATATTCTATTTTTTCTCATTTTTTGGGCTCGATATGTTTCATTAACATTAGAATCTCCCATTTCATCAATGTTACAAATACAGAATACAAGCAGTACCCGAAAAACAGAGAAAAAATGCAAACACACAAATAAATTTCAAACATTAGCAATTATAATTTTCTTTTGCAAGAAATGACACTTTCCATTACATAGAGAGAGAGAGAGAGATTGGACTTACTTTTTCTTCTTTGGTTTTTGCTTTCTTGTTGAAGATTCTCTAGACAATGTGAGAGAACCAAAGAACCAAAATCTGTACTTATGGGAGGTTAGGGACTGCCTCATATTGGATGAATGAAGGAAGCCGAGAAGATCATTTGAAAGATGAAGATACGTGGAGAGGAGATGAGGTGAGGTTCTGCTTTGGGAAATTCGAGAAATAGGGATTAAGATGAAGATGCAGGAGAAGAGATGAAGTAAGGTTCTGCGTTTGGGAAATAGGGATTCCAATGAAGATGCGTGGAGAAGAGATTAGGGATTGGGAAAAAGGTTTGCTTTATATAGGTTAAGGTTTTCTGTAAATAACTTAAAAAAGTAAGGCTTTTATTTAGTTGTTTAATTTTTAAATATAATTATATTTGGCAAACAAGTGAATTTGGAACTAAACATTTAGTCACAAAAGAAGTAGTCTTAGTTGCCTATATGTTAGGTTTGGCAGGAACAAATAATTTGGGGAGAACATGAATTTTTCAACTTAAATTGGCAATTAAACCGAATTTAGTTGCTGTATATAATTTTTTGCAACTATTGTTAATATGAACACAAACATTTGTTGCTAAAAATACCTTGGGCCCTTGTAATTATTGTCCAAATATGGGACATTTTGGTAATTTTATTATTCTATAACTAATCATAATAGTTACTAATAAATTCCTAATTATTCACAACTAATTTAGCTACTAAGGGCTAGTTGCAAAAAATTGTTTTCTATAACCAATAATGTAGATGTAAAATATAATATTTTAGATGCAAATTGTCAAATTATGGAGGGAAAAATCACCCATTAAAAATGACAACTAAATTTATTAATCATTAAAGCAACCTATTCTGTGACTAGCAAAATAGTCGTAGAAAATTAACTTTAGACGCCAAAAGTTGGAACATGTGGACCCCAAAATTTTAATTCTCTTTGCTCGACCAATAGCTATTTAGTTGGTAAATGTAGCCTTTTTGTAACTAATTCTGGTCAGTTGCTAAAACATTGGTTGCATAATGTAGTTTTTCTTATAGTGATTGCTAGGTATAAGGCCAAACTAGTGGCTCAAGGTTTCCTGTAGAGACTTAGAATTGATTTCGATGAGATGTATTCAACAGTGATGGATGTGATCACATTTCAATACTTGATTAGTTTATTAGTCTTAGAAGCACTTGATATGCGTTTCATAAACGCTGTCACTGTGTATTTATATGGTACACCGGTACTGATATCTATATGAAAATCCCTAAAGGATTCAAAGTGCCAGAAGCAAATAAAAGGAACATGTATTCAATAAAATTGCAAAGATTGTTATATGAGTTAAAATAAGGACGAATGTGGTATAATCGTCTCAGTGAATATTTGATGAAGGAAGGATACATCAATGATCCTGTATGCCCATGTGTCTTTATAAAAAGGTCAGAATTAGGATTTGCAATTGTGGCAGTACATGTCAATGACATGAACTTAATATAGACTCTTAAAGAGCTCAAAAAAGCTGCTGAGTACTTAAAAAGAGAATTTGAAATGAAGTATCTAGGGAAAACAAAGTATTGTCTCAGCCTGCAGATTGAGCATTGTTCAGATGGAATTTTGCTCCATCATTCAAATTATACTGAAAAGATCCTAAAGCAATTTAATATGGATAAATCTCACCCCTTGAGTACCCCAATGGTAGTTCAGTCTTTTGATCTTAAAAATGATCCATTCCATCCTAAAGAAGACAACAAAAAGATACTTGGTCCTAAAGTACCGTATCTAAATGCAATACATGCATTATTATATTTGACAAAATGTGCAAGACTAGACATAGCCTTTGCAGTGAATTTGTTGGTAAGATTTAGCTTTGTATTAACTCGCCGACATTAGAATTAGATCAAACATGTCTTTCGTTACCTCAATGGAACAAAAGACTCGGGATTATTTTATCCAAGGAAATCTGTTAATGATCCTAAATTAGTTGGCTATACAGATGTTGGGTACCTTTTTTATCCACACAAAGCCTGCTCGCAAACGAGATATGTTTTCACTTACAATGGTACTGCAATATCATGGTGCTCTATGAAACAAACATCGATTGCCACTTCCTCCAATCATTCTAAGATTCTTGCGCTTCATGAAGCCAACCGAGAATGCGTATGGTTAAAATCTGTCATCCATCATATTGAAAGTACATGCAAATTGCCACGTACCTCAGATGATCCCATAATTAAAAATGAAGACAATGCAACATGTATTGCTCAAGTCAGAGGAGGATATATCAAAGGAGACAAAACCAAGCATATTTCACCGAAGTTCTTTTACACCCACGAACTCTTGCAAAATTGAGAGATTGGTGTCAAACAAATGCGCTCTAGTGATAATCTTGCAGATTTATTCACTATGGCCTTACCAACATCAACATTTGAAAAGTTAGTGTATAACATCAGTATGCGGCAGCTCAATAAGTTACTAAATTAATTCTACCATTATGAGGGGGAGCATTGACGAAGAGGAGCATCAATTAGAAGGAGTTTTAAGGAAAGTTTGTTGTATTGTTTATTGTACTGGATATATGTGCACTGTACTCTATTTTCCTTGATCAGTTTTTGTCCCAATAGGTTTTCCTGACAAGGTTTTTAATGAGTCAGTATGAAGCACGTCCAACTTCACGTTACAGTTTCATTGTAAAGTTGTATTTCTTCACTTTGGTTTTTTTCCACTGGGTTTTTCTTGAGTAAGGTTAAATACAATTCATTTGTGATCAATCCAAATATTTGAGAGTCTAAGCTATATCGCTCACATCTCTCAATCCTCTCACTTTGGTCCTTGTTATTCACTCTGTTTACTTTATCTTTCCTAAGTTATTACTAAACAACACCACTAAAATTACAACAATTACAAGTTAGTTTTGTATATTCCTATAATGTGGTTTAATTTGAGTGCATTCAATCTCTCAAATCGTCAAAAACCTCCTATAAGCGGGGTTTATAATGGATTATTAATAATCTCGGCAAGGGAGAGAAATGTTTTAAATTTCAATAGTGTGGGTAAAGGAGTAAGGATGGGCCTTTTTCACGCCCTGCCGAACAAGGCGGGGATTCCTTGAAAAAATAGTAATGGAAACCATAAAATTCCATGCCCTAGGGGACGGGGTGGGATCTCTCCGCACCCCGCCCTTGAAAGCCCATCCTTACGAGAAAGGGATGGAGGGAAATGTTTTAAATTTCAATAATTATAGAGGGCATTTTAATGACTTCCAAAAAAATAATTGTGCTTCCAATTAAATAATTTTATCGTATTTGCCCATCAAATTTATTAAATTTATCTATGAATGGTATTTAACTCTTACATAATGAGCGATACCTCTATTTTTTTATCAATAATAATTAATAATATTATATATCTTTATAATGAAAATTTAATACACGTCTACTAGCATTTTTGTAACTTTATGTTTAAAACTTAAAACACAGGGTTTAATTAAAAAAAAAAAAAATGTAGGGTCTATATGAAAATACTGAAACGTTCGGGGATTAAAAAATCCCGTCAATTTTCCCATTTTCCTCTTCGAGCTCTTTGAAATTCCCCGCCACCAAAAACCCTCTTCTTCTCACTCAATTCTCCAGAAACTCAGCTCCCATCAACAAAAACGCAGCGTTTTATCTATTCATCAACACAAGGTAACATTGTCGTCACTCTCTCAGCATAATCACTGTAAAAGGTATTCACTCTATCGTCTATCGAATTCAAACTAAATAAAACTTTAAATCGTTGACTATCTCGGTTTACTTATTATTGCTGTTAACATTTTAAATATATTTCTCTTGTTATCAACGATTTTGTAGTAACCAAACTGAGAAGTCTTAATTGATTTACGTCCCCACTTTCTTCTTCGGTATTTTCTGGTGAACGGTATTAGGGTTTCGTTTATCATTTTTATTTTATTTTATTGATTTATTTATTGTTGACATATGCTTATTACTTTTTAGGTTTGGAGCATCATGGGGGAAACGTCGAGGTAAATTCTCACTTATAAAAGTGAAATATTGATTTTTTTTCTTTTTAATGTCAGTGATAGTGTTAAATTTAAATTGGTTAACTTGTTTAAGTTAAGCTAAGTATTTTAAAGCTCTAATTATGTACTTTCAAACCTGACATTAACTGTTTTCTTTCTTTTTACTTACAAATGCATTTGTGCTTCTTTGATTAGTTCAACAATCAGTCAAAATGGTTCTGAGTCCGTGCGTTGAATGATGTATTTTGTTTTAGTCTGTTTGGATTTTGTAGTGTTTTCGGTACTGAGGTGCAGTAGAATTGGAATCTTGAATTCATTAAATTTTCCTCTGTAATGTTAAGAGAAACTTGGTGCTGCATATAATTTAATTTGTATTAACATATATCTTACTAAATTTTGTTGAAACGCCTTGTGGGTAGATTTTCAACAATTTTTTTTGGGGCTGTGGCATGTGTTTTGTATCCCTCTTGCCATTTCTAACATGATCGCTTCACAATTTTTTTGAAAGCTTTCATTTAACATGGGGTAGGAGGAAGTTCATTAGTTGGGATATGTATTTTATCTACCAAAACATTTTCATGTATATGATGAAAGAAATTTTAGGGAGGATACTGCCAGTACACTTCGTATACTAGTTGCTACGGATTGCCATCTGGGCTACATGGAGAAGGATGAAATACGACGACATGATTCATTCCAGGCATTCGAGGAGATATGCTCAATAGCAGAGCAAAAAAAGGTGATGATTAACTTACTACTTTGCATTGTGCTCTCAGTGAACTGTTGGTTTGTTTCCTGTTAGTTTAATTTCTAGGGAAACTTGATGTTGCTCTTGCAAATGGATATATCTTTTTCATGTTTTAGTTGACAATTATGTTCTTCCATTCTCAAGTTAAATTAATTTGTATTGGAAAACTTTGGGTTGAAGGAATTTGTACTTTATTTTTATGGGTCTCGTTAATAATTGCCACTCGGCAGGCACTTATTTCTATCTGGTACAGGTAGACTTCTTACTCCTTGGTGGTGATCTTTTCCATGAGAATAAACCCTCAAGGTCAACTCTAGTGAAGGCAATTGAGATTCTGCGTCGCCATTGCCTAAATGATCGACCTGTACAGTTCCAAGTTGTTAGTGACCAGACTGTAAATTTTCAAAATATGTAATGACTTTTTCTGCATTTAAACCTACTGTATTTCTACAATTTTAAAATGTTGTCTCCTTTTTTCAGATTGGACATATGCATCTATTTTCTTTGACATGGCTATGCTATTGGCACGTCTTATTTCTCATTCATGACTCAAATAATAAACTTAATTTTGATCGTGTCAATAGGTTGAGGTTATTAGTAGCCTTGTGCTATCTCTTGAAACCATTTCTCTCCTTCTTTTGTGCCTTTCTTTTGCAGCCTCATTCTACATTGTGACTTGGTTAGGATGCACCATTATTTTTTAGTTGTTTAAATCTTACATTTTCTGGGTAAAACCTTTCCTCAAACCATAAAATTAAGCTCATAATAGTTGCATGCATCTATTCACACACACAAATACTCATGCATCATTACATGCAATCTTACACAAATATCAATTTGCCAATCTTATTCATAACAACTTGCCATTCTGAACAGATTTGGTCATGTAAATTATGAAGATCCTCACTTCAATGTTGGTTTGCCAGTGTTCAGTATCCATGGAAATCATGATGATCCCGCTGGAGTGGTATGCATTTTGTAATGACTTGCTGTATTTTTAATTTTAATGTTTGAGGTGCTCTACCCACAATTAATTAGAAAGTCATGGGCGCTTGAGTTTGTCTCCAAAATTTAATGCTATAAGTTAGATCAAACCTATAACTTCCTGTACTGTGATGTTGTTTTTAGTTTAGGATACTTTATTTTTGTAAAGAATATGGTAAAAAAGAGGAAAGTATTTAGAGAGAGAAGGGTAAGCAAATGTGATATGGCAAGAGAGTTCGCATTTGATTGTAAATCATTGAGGGTTATTTGGTATATAATAGTCCATTCTTTCTTCTTTCAAAAAGTCTTGTTACTTTATCTGTTTGGGTGTCCATCACTCTGAATGTCTTATTCCTTTCTATTGGCAATGGTGACAGGACAACCTTTCTGCAGTTGATATCCTTTCAGCATGTAATCTTGTGAACTATTTCGGGAAAATGGTTCTTGGGGGATCTGGTGTTGGTCAGATCACTCTCTACCCTATTCTTATCAGAAAGGTTGGTAAATTTTTTTAATAGAGGGTGTGAAAAATTTATTAAAGTGTTTTTTAGCTTGACTTATAACCGATATATTGCAGGGTCCAACAGCTGTGGCTCTCTACGGTCTTGGAAACATCAGAGATGAACGGTTAAATAGAATGTTTCAGGTACTATTAGTTGAATATTTGCTTTGCAACTGTGTAAGGACTAAACTTAAGTTTGCTTATTTATAGTTCTTTTTTATTTTTTAGACACCACATGGTGTACAATGGATGCGGCCTGAAGCCCAAGAAGGTTGTCAAGTGTCAGACTGGTTCAACATTCTGGTGCTTCATCAGAACAGGTTGTGTGCTAGTGCTAGTGCATGCTTTATCACTTAACTTTGAAGCTGTGGGCAGTTACAAAGTCTATAGTGTACACTCTGAGCATATTGTTTGTAATTTTGTATTCTTACCCAGTGATGTTGTCTGCAGAGTGAAGACAAACCCTAAAAATGCAATAAATGAACACTTTTTACCACGCTTCCTCGACTTTATAGTATGGGGACATGAACATGAATGTCTTGTTGATCCTCAGGTTTCATTCACACTGTAATTCCTTTTCCATAAAACATCAGTCTTGTATATTATCACTAAGTTGGAAGTGGATTTTGATTTCCAAAGGAAGTTCCAGGGATGGGATTTCATATTACACAACCAGGTTCTTCAGTAGCAACATCATTGATTGATGGAGAATCAAAGCCAAAGCACGTGCTTCTCTTAGAAATAAAGGTTTGTTTGGGGAAAACAACTGTAATTTGTCTTTTTTAATAGGCAGTATCATTGTTTTATTTGTCTTCACTGTGTTGATATGATGCATCTTTTACAGGGAAATCAATATCGTCCAACCAAGATACCTTTGACTTCCGTGAGGCCCTTCGAATATACAGAGGTAATTTTTTTTTTTTTTTTTTCCTTTTTTCATCTTCTGAGGAAATTTACGCGACTTACTCAATTTTCATGGTGCAGATTGTATTAAAGGATGAATCTGACATAGATCCCAATGATCAAAATTCAATTCTTGAACATTTAGACAAAGTGGTAAGGGTTGTTTTGATTTTGACTATCTGGGTTTCTCATGTCCTCTAACTGTTATTTGTGATTGTAATTCTTGGAGGCTGTGTAATATGTGCCTATGCATTAACTTTATTATTATAACTTCATTCTATTTAGGTCAGAAATCTGATAGAGAGATCTAATAAGAAGGCTGTTAACAGTTCAGAGACCAAGTTACCATTGGTCAGAATTAAGGTAAATTTCCCCAAACCTATAGTTGATTAGGTTGTTTTACATTTGAGATTCTTGCATATTTGTTTTGCCCTGGCCCACATTTCAGCTTATGAAAAGTCAGCCTATACTATTTCATAGCCCTGGTCTCTAGTGTTCCTGCGGTCATAAATTCAAGAAAGAGTTAATCTTAACCACTTGGGTTAGGATATATAAACTATAATTTCTTGTTAGAGCCATAGTTTCCATGTAAACTTTGTGAATGATGTCTTTTCCTGCTCCCTCTATCCACATAGAGAACTTTCTTAGATCTCTGTTGGAATTATTGTATGTGGCTAAACCTTCTTGTACACCTGTTATCTTAACCCCCCTTCCACAAGTGGAATGATCCTTAACTTCTCTGACTAATTTGGCAGGTGGATTACTCTGGATTCATGACAATAAATCCTCAAAGATTTGGGCAGAAATATGTGGGAAAGGTATCTCCAGTATAATTCATAGTTGATTGGGAAGTAACTGCTTGTTTATTTAGGATTACATTCAATTGAGAAATATAAATGATCTTAAAATTTTGCAGGTTGCGAATCCCCAAGACATTCTAATATTCTCTAAGTCTGCTAGAAAGGGTCGGAGTGAAGGTAAACTAAATTGTTTGATGTTAATAATTTACTTGGTTTTGATTATTTGATTCAATTTGGATCACAAATCAACTTTCGTTGTCATTGATTCTGCCACAGCCTGTTATCTTGTAACTTTTATCTTTATGTAATCTAGGATATGTTATGAAACTTAATTGAACAATTGCTGCTATTGCCTAGCCTGGTGTGGGGCTGACACACTAAACATATGCTTTTGGCATTCAATGAATTTAGGGTCTAAAAACTGGGGCATGTGTTGAAAATTTTCAAGTTTGCAAACAGAATGCAGAGACATGGTTTTCAGAAAATTTTCAGAATTTCTGTTTGAGAGAGAATGAAGTTAACTGTTTTGTTTCAAACATTATTGGATGACTAATATACTGACATTAGAATCTGTCATGTCTCTTAAATGCAGATTTCTCTGTTGCTTTTTACTCTTTGAATATCTGATGTTATGTCTATTTTTTGTTGGATGAAATATTCTTGATTCCAATTTGATATCAAGAGTTTCTTTTCTTAAAAAAAGAAAAATAATAATAATTATAGGTTATAATTGTGTGGTGTTGATGTCAGAAGCCAATGGCATAACTATAGTTTCTTTATTGGATTTCAGGTAAAATTGATGATTCTGAAAGGCTTCGCCCAGAAGAGCTTAATCAACAAAACATAGAGGCCTTAGTTGCTGAGAACAATTTGGTACTTAACTATCATTGTCTATGTTTCCTATTGATCAATGTATCACATATATGACACCAATTGCTGCTTCTTACTGTATTGAAATTTGTACAGGGAACCTCTACCTAATATATGCTATTAAATCATCAGTATCTCTATTGAAATTTGTACTGCAAACACTTCTATGTCTGTTTGGAAACCATACCGGCAATATTGATTTTTAAGCGCAAACACTTCTATGTCTATTTGGAAACCATACAGGCAATATTCATTTTTAAGCATGGATTTAGTAGTTATGTGGAGGATGGCTTTATTGAATACATGTTTTTATCTGTGGGTTACTCAACTAAATGGATCCTACTAGAAAAAAAGAGTTGGGGGGAGGGGGTTGAAATGAAAAGGAAAATAGAAACACTTACGAACCTGTAATGAATAATGAGGTTTAATCTTGTTTCAGTTCTCAATATTCATTATAATGTCTGCCTTGCAGAAAATGGAGGTTATTCCAGTCAACGATCTGGACACTGCATTACACAATTTTGTTAACAAGGATGATAAATTGGCTTTCTATTCTTGTGTAAAATACAATCTTGAAGAAACACGTGTAAGTATTTCATATTATCTTCTTCGTTGCAGCAAGAATTATGTTGAGGATCTTGCATTGATTTTTGGTTCACTGCATATATATATGATTATAAATAGTTTCTGCTTCTTTGTGTTCATTATATTTGTTTGCTGTTAATTACTGTTTCATTTTGTTCTTTCACTTTATTAATCTAATGATTGCTTCCCATTTTGCTTACAGCACAAAATTGCCAAGGATTCTGATACAACGAATTTTGAAGAGGAGGACCTAATACTTAAAGTTGGAGAGAGCTTGGAGGCAAGAATGATGTTTTCTTTTTCCTCCAATAGGGGCTCCAAGATGTCTAACATTATCTAATATAGCCCTAGCTTACCTCATCCAGTTGCTAACGTCTTAACCTAGAATGTAACATAGGGGCTACCTACCTACAGGGCCCTTGAGCTGTTTGTAATTACTTAAGCCTAATATTTATTGCTGGTGCTGATATAACGCATGGATGGGCTGCATCACCCAGCAGAAGAAAATGCACAAGACACAATCACACAAACCTATGTGGGGAACTAACTTTACGTTAAAGGAAGGACTTTCCCCCTCCTAACTTTTTTTCTCACTTGCAAGCTTTTTACCTGTTCCAGCTATTATATCCCCTATTCTTTAAGCCTCTTGATTTCAAAATTATGCATATGTAAGCAGAATGGTTGATCATCAACCTTACAGAATTTTCCTAAGTAGTTGATTTTTCACCGAATGAGATTTTAGGGAAGACAAAGTATCCTATTCACTTGCCATCAAGCATCATCTTACATTATTGGTGAAATATTCCTTGCAGGAACGTGTCAAGGAAAGGTCTATGCACTCTAAGGATACCCCACAGTGGACATTTAGTGCACCATCTTTGGAGGTGATTTTATATTTTAATGTTTTCTTCTTTTTTTTCTTTTTTTTTCACAAACTGTTTTATTTGGTCCTAGTCTGTAATTCCTTGTCTCAAACCAATGTGTGGCTTTTCCAATATGTATAACTGTAATCTGCATTTTAAGTTTTCATCTTCTATTCCATATAGGATATCAGGAGTAAAAGTGCCACAGGAATCGGAAGTGCTGTTTCTTTTAGTGATGATGAAGACACAACACAGCTATCTGGCAAGAAGTATGCCACCAGAGGTCGAAAGGGATCAACGGCAGCTAGGTCATCCAATGATGCGTCTCAACTTGATAAAACTTCTACAAGAGGAAGGGGAAGGGGAAGGGGAAGAGGCAGGGGCTCTAGTAACTTGAAGCAGACGACGCTTGATATATCTCTGGGGTTCCGTCAATCTCAGAGGTTAATGTTGGCCCTGATTATTGATAGTTTGATAGATATCATTACATTCTTTATTTCTTGAAGCAAAGTGAAATATATGCCAGTTATGTGTTAAATTGCACTAGTTTGTCTAAATAAGCCCTAGGACTGGCAAGTGAGAATAAATTGATTCAAGGTATCAAAGATCTGGATTTTCATCATGGACTCTCTTACATGCCTAGTATCTGTTGGGTGATTAGTGAGAGCAAATATGTGAATAAGAGTGGAGATATGCTAGGGGTTGTACGTACATACATAAAATAATAGAAAAGATGGACCAAAACAGATACAAATCAATAGGCAATTAAAATTATATTTATCCATGTGTTGTTAGAGTTGTATATATAGACCCAAAATAAAAATTAAGTTTCTTAGTATTTCTGCAGGTCTGCATCAGTTGCTGCAAAAGCTGCTGTTCAGAGTCTTGTTGACAAGGAGGATAATGTAGATTCTGCCTCTAGTGAAGACGCAGGAAAATATGGAAACAATGAAGTTGATAACAGTTCGGTGAGGACTATTCTTTTAGTTATTTAAATTGGTGCATTGAGTTATTACCGGTTTTTTCATTGTCTTGTTGTTGTTGTGAATCTATAAGCATTGAAGACTTAATGGATACAGACTGATGAACAAAGACCGGCTTTCAATTAAGATATAAATTTTTGGCATTTACTTCTAAGCCACTTCATGCTCACATGTGTTACCCTTTTGGTGCCCCTCGACGTAGAAAATTTAATGTTTGAAATGATTTGGTGTTGAATAACCCTTTAAAAGTTGGAATCACTTCTCTTGTGTAGTTATTGAGTTTATGGCTATGATATTAGCTGTGTTGAGCATGTTCAGTTATTATATTGAGCATGTTAAGGTATTATATTTATCTTAGACATTAACTCGTGCCTTAACATAGTGATTACATGGTCTGGAACTAATTCAATAAAATCTCTTGAAGGATGATGATGGAAGCCTTCAAGGGAAAGGACGCAAAAGAGCTGCACCAAGGGGAAGGGGCAAAGGTGCAACACCCTCTAAGCGGGGACGGAAATCAGATAACTCTTCAATTCACAGAATGCTCATGAGTAAAGATGACGATGATGATGATGATGATGATGAAGACATTGCAAAGAGACTAAACAAGTCTCAACCTCGGGTTCGTGATTTTATCCCTACTTTAACGTCCTATAAATATATAAATATCATCTTTTTACCCAAGGAGTTTAATCTAAGCAATGACCTGAAAATGTCTTTCTAAGATGCAGTTCCCACCATATGTTAATGTTATTGTTCGTTTTCATTTTCTTCCTACATTAGACATGTTTTGTAAAATTACTATGTTAGTTGTTGTTAAGATCCCACATTGAGAGGGAAAAGGGGTGGGTATGTGGTTTATAAATGGCTTTAGCACCCTCCTTTGGCAAGCCGGTTTTTAAAGGAGAGTTATACCTAGTCCTATAAAAAACCCATTGCCCAGCCCAATTATTTGTGTTGTTGGAGTGGGTTCCTATCAAATGATATCGGAGCAGGCCCCACCTTCCGAGCCCATGCAGCAAAGCCCAATGGGCCCCCCGAGGGGTTGAGAAGGAGAGTTGTTGACAGACTTCTAGGCGAAGTAAGACCCGAAGGGAGGGCAGTAGAGGCCGATGAGGGCTAACGCTCTTTGGAAAGAAGACCAACGGGGGCGTTGGGTCTTAAAGCGTGAGGGAATGTTAGGATCCCACATTGAGAGAGAAAAGGGGTGGGCATGTGATTTATAAAGGCTTAGGTACCCTCCCTCGGCAAGCTAGTTTTTCAAGGAGAGTTTTACCTAAGCCTACAAAAAAACCCCTGTCCAGTCCAATTCCTAACAAAGCCCATTGCCCAGCCCAATTCTTATCAAAGGCCCACTAGTCAGCCCAATTTCTATCAATTTGGGAGTGGGTTCCTATCAGTTGTCCAAAGATCTGTAGCCTTATGCAAATACAGACCATCATGTGGAACTAATTCGATGCATATTTTTTTAAAATAAAGTAGTATATCTAATCCATTCATTGCTCATTGTCCTTGTGATCGAGACTTCCTTTACTGAACTTCTTCAGCATTTTCGGGAGCCTGTTGTCATAGGCAACATATATCACAGGCAAATTTTACATTCAGTTTTAAATTATTAATAGAAGTTAAAGACAGTTAACTGAGCCTTTAAAATCCTATTAGATGACTTGGATTCAGAAAAATTCCTAGTCCATAATTTTATCATTTCAATCTTAAGTAAGATTTTGTTTCTGCGCATTTTATCTTCATATCAAGATATTTGTAGCTTTGCCTGACAATTCGTCTCCCATTTGTAGGTCACAAGGAATTATGGGGCCTTGAGAAGGTAGGTGCAATTGAGGGTCACCACACACCCGGCAAAGATTGATACGTGTTCTTAATCTATGTCATGAGTTGAGTATATAGAGTATGAATACAGAACACTGTAAAAAAAAAATATGAAGTAGTTACTTAAATTGCAGAACGTCTGTTTTCGCATTTGCAGTTGCAATGAGGACTGAGGATGGATGTGTATAAGGCTTATTTTTAGTTTGTACAAATTGGAATTTTTTATTGTACATAATGAAGTAATGTGAGCAAACTTCAAAACATTTTTCATGGATAATCAAGAAGGCGCCTCACAGTTTCTTACATTTCTTTCCCAGTTCAAATATTTTCTAGTTTAATTTTTTATTTTTTTGCATTTTCATCAAATATTATTTTGATTTTTGTCATTAAATTGTATGGAATGACAATTAGATCCTTAAAACTATAAGTTAATGGCTGGTTGGAAAGGATATTAGATAATAGAGTAGTGTTATTTGAGTCCCAGTAAATCTTTTTATAAGCCCTATATTAAATAAAAATCATTACATTATATTGTATTCCAAAACTATCTTTATCTTCTTCCTATCCTATCTAACCTTTAATGGAGTTTTAAATAATTCATAGATCTGAACTTTAATTGATTCTATGTAATACTTAGTGCCATCATTAAAAAATCTTTATCTAATATGAGAATAAAAATTCACGATGGATGGAGAAAATATTATAGAATCATAATTAATTAACCGATGTCAAAATACTAGTTTACACCGTGAATGAAAAAAAGAAGATACGAGATTGGATGCAAAATTTGACTGTTCTTTATATTTTATAAATTCTAAGAACAAAAAACTCAAAAGATTCAATGGAATTTGCTTGGTTGAAGAAGATAAGATTAATATTGGAATAAATTGTGCATTTAATTTAATTTAACATGGGGCTTGAAAAGAGAATTGATTGGATTACATAGGGGCAAATGTTAAAATGCCATATTGCTTTGAATTTAACCGAAAGGTCATCTAGTTTTTTAGTCTTTACTAAATGGTCTTATTTTTTATTAAGACAAACTAATGACAATTAAATACTAATCATGGCTTAATTAGGATTAATGAAGTATTTTGTAATCCTTTAAAAATTATAATATGTCCCCAAAAACCTGAAATTCTTGCAAACAAACCCAAACATAACATCTTCTTCTTCTTCCTCCTGCTATTAACACATCCCTTCATTGGCTGCTGTTCATCCTAAGCTTCATCTACATCTTCTTCTTTCTCCTTCCTATACATCTTCTTCTTCTAGCTGTTAACACTATCTTCTTCCTCCGCCATTAACATCTTTTCCGCCACAGATCCTCCTCCTTCTCCTAACATTTCATCCAAGTATGTGTATCTCCCCTTCCTATTTTATATTTCGATTTACAAAGATTTAATAATGGATTGGGTTTGGGTTATGATTTTGATTTAGTTGTTTAGGTTGTTGAGTTGTGTTTGATGTAATGCAAGTTAAAATGAGTGAAATTTGTTGAATATTTTATTTCATTGTGGGTATCTAGGGGTGGTAGCACTGATTGTAGGTGGAGATTACTAAAAATGTGTTCTGGATATGATAGATCACTTAAGCGATCTGGTATGTTTGGTATCATACAGCAGATCGTAGATCGCTTAAGCGATCAGATGTATGGCAGAAGATCGCTTAAGCAGTCTGCTATAAATTTGGTATATGATAGCAAATCGCTTAAGCGATCAGGTAAATGGCAGAAGATCGCTTAAGTGGTCTGTTATAAGTCTAGTGTATAACAGCAGATCGCTTAAGCGATCAGGTAAATGGCAGAAGATCGCTTAAGCGATCAGGCTTATTTATACCATATCGCTCAAGCGACTTTGCAAATGTTTTTTAAAATCTTTCAACCCTTAATACATCAGTTAATAATATTTTCTTTTTCTTGCATTATAGGTACTTGGGCCATTATTAGACATGAGATAAATTGTTTTAGGTATTGAATATTTCGGTGAGTGAGTGGAGGAAAAAAGTTGCTAAAAGTGGATTGGGAGGAAGAAAGAAGTTATACCAATTTTTATGAACACATTGGTTAGTTTTGATGAGTTGATCAATGAAATAATTAGAAGAGGTGATTTGAGTTGCTCACATAGTGGTGAAATAAAAATCATTACAATATATTATATTCCAAAACTATCTTTATCTTCTTCCTTTCTTACCTTTAATGGAGTTTTAAATAATTCATAAATCTGAACTTTAATTGATTCTATGTAATACTTAGTGCCACCATTAACAAATCTTTATCTAATATGAGAATAAAAAATCATGATGGATAGAGAAAATATTATAGAATCATAATTAATTAACCGATGTCAAAAAAACTAATTTATACTGTGAATGAAAAAAGACATGAGATTGAATGCAAAATTTGACTGTTCTTTATATTTTATAAATTCTAACAAACAAAAAACTCAAAAGATTCAATCGAATTTGCTTGGTTGAAGAAGATAAGACTAATATTGGAATAAAGTGTGCATTTAATTTAATTTGGTTATTTAATTTAATTTAATATGGGGCTTGAAAAGAGAATGGATGGGATTAAATAACCAACACTCTCGAGCGCAGATAATATTTTCTTCCACAAGATTAGGTGTCAGGTAACCTATCCCACTAACATCCGTTACGTTTGAAGACTAAATTCAAGTTTTTGAAATCGTTTGTCCATCAATAGTACACCAAAATCCTTACGACAAAATTGAAATTATCTCCAAAGTTAAAAATAGACTTGTATTTTTCCTAATATTTATTCATATACGTTTTTGGTAAACCTGGTAATTGCTTTTCTCGTGACTCAGAGATATCTATTGCATGTACTTTGTGTTCTCTCTACTTAAACTTTGCTTGATCCAAACACACTATTAAGTCTCTCTAATGCATCCCATTCATTAAACAGGAGATATTATTGCACATATAATGCTGAGTTCAAGTTGAGAATTGAGATATAAAGCTTCTTTGTAAAAGAATAAGAAAAACTCGAAAATGGAAAGCTGAAGTGTGGCTCTAAGGCCCTTGATAAGAAAACATTAACAAAATAAATCGTGTGAGGAAATCGTCTGGGTCTCAGCTTGTCAAGAAGTGACCAAAAAGAAAAAGAAAAAAAAAGCAGAGACACAGAGCTGTTTGCCTCACTGATATCACTCCAGGTTTCATTGGGCTATGAAAAGTAATTCTACATTATGTATATGTACAGACATTTTTGCTGCAATTCTCCCTCATCTAAAGTAGACCCTCTGATTCACCCGTTCACTTCGATCACTGATTTTTACCTGCTTAAGAATTCATAGAAAAACATACCGATCTTAGAAGCCATTTCAATTATAAACGAACGAAAACAAAAAAGGGTTTCAAAAGTAACTACATGCGAACTATGAAAACATCTTTGAAACCATGACTAAGAGAGTATCACTTGTATGCACATATAATGGAATGTATAATTTAACTATTTCAACACGGCAAACTGTAAAAGCAACCGAAGATTATTTGAAGCTTATGTGAATGTTAAAAAACATCCAAATAATACTAAATAAGGTCATTAATCATCAATATATGGTCCATGTGTCATTAAAATAAGAATTTTTTTACCTTTTCAAGTCGTCCCATTCAGCTGCAACTAAACAATACTATCCTTGTGTTTGCAACTAGATATAATTTTCTTTCTTCTAATACCATGGATTCATTCATTTATTGCCAATTAGACTACTAGGCCTTCTATTTTCATATTTCAAGGAAAACCCCGGCTCAGGTTTAAAAGCTTACAAAAACAGGGTTGCAACAAGTGAAATATCATTCTTTCTACTAAGACACACATAAAAGAAGCAACTTCAAAGCTTAGATTCTCCATTCCAACAACAGCATGTTATTGAGAACTTTCAACTTTTCCTACATATACTAAACGCAATCAAAGGGTGCTTGCTTAGTAAAAGAAAGTTCATTGCGTAAGAGCAACATAATTGATCTTCAGGTGCCCCTATGAAGTGCAATAAAACCAGAAATGTCATCTTAAATACCTAATAAAAAGGACTTAGTAAGGCACTTCAGAAAGTGAATCTAACTTTGAACTTGAAGAAGAAACCAGAGTAACTTTATGTTCTAAGATATTTAAATAAAGTCCACAATTAACAAAATCTGAGCCGTATCATTGAAATTGAAGGTCTGTACCTTTGGACCAGCCAATACTCTTGTATCACTTTTTTGTGGTACATTATTTTTTGTACCATTTGAACCCCTAATGCTTCCAGAAAGATTGTTCCTGCCGTTGCATTTCTGACTCGCAGACACTTTGACTGTTGAATTCTCTTTTCCACCACCCACCTTTCTGTTGAGACCCCCTAATTCCACTTTCTCCCTGGCTTTAATAGCCCCAGTAGATGACTTCTGCTCATTAACTCTAAGTGGCAGTGAAGATTTGGCACGAAGAGATTGAACCTGTAACATTAATGAAACTTCAGATGATTTAGTAAGTTCATGGCATTCTGTACCCAACAAATGCAATTTTGCAAATTATCTATGGTTTCGCAGATAAGAGGAAATTATAGTCAAAATTCAGGATACTCGTAAAAAACAAAGCAATTGTTAAATTGTGTACACTAAATGAGTTTATTTGTTTTTAAAAGGATTGCCACAACAGTATCTCCTGTTTGTATGATGCTCACCTTTGATTTTGCCATTTCCTTATGATTCGACTTTGCAATAGAAGTTTTATCTCCCCTTCTAGAGTTGATAGTTCCTTCCTTAACTTGAACAATGGAATCCTTAGCCACTGCTTTTCTCGTCCTTGTCACATGTCTACTATCTGGGGTTTTTTCTTTTTTTCTTGTTGATATAAATTTTGAATTCTTACCATCAAAACCAGGGACTGAAGATGACCCCACACTAGACTTGCTTGAAGAAGATTTGCGATCTCTTGATTCACATCTTTCTTTATTAATCTCTATCCTTGACTGCCTCCCATCATTTTTAGTCTCTACTGTTGGCTGCCTCCTGTCACTATTTGTCTCCACCCTCGACGCTTGTCTTGTAATACAACTTTTCCTAAGAGTAATCCTCACTGCTGATAGTAGCTCGCTTGTGTGACCAAATGGTCGACTTGATACCTCAGGGAACTTTTGCTGACCTCGCAAATTACTCTCAGACGTGACTGTGCTTCCTGGATTGCTTTCACCTCCCTTATCCACCATAGAGCTTGAACTGTTCTCTGAGCCCTCACAAACTGATATAGGTTTCAAAGAGTTTCCTTTGGCATTACCAATTGAGCTCCTCTCACAAACTAAACTTCTTTTCATATTGGAAGTTCCTTTTGAATTTACAAAGCTCAGCTTGGGTTTTATTTCCTCTGTGGATCCCAAACCAACTCGTAAAGAATTAGGCTTCATAGAGCTTGGCCTAGGTTTCATCTTTTTACCAGATCCTAAATCCACCAATGAAGACTTCCCACATAAAAGCTTTACAAGGTGTGGTTTATTCAATGAAACATCATGATTGTCTCCTCTCCAGTTCTTGCTCTTATATTCTTTACCTCTAGATCTCGATACCGAGGATGGAAGCGTCGGGGAAGATGGTCCCATAAAACCCAAGTCTGGATTTACATTCTCCTCACTAGCATGAGCAAATGCAGCCTTTAACTGACGAGAAGAACATTGGTGGAACCTGAAAATTACAGCAATTAAGTTACCAACGCAACTTCATGATCTCAATAACAGGAATTCCAAACCTAACATGGTTAACCACCAAAAGTAACTTAATTCAATGAATAACACACTTACAGGTGACTTGTGTAGAACCACTCATCATCACTGCAAATATAACAAAATTTGTATTACAAAGCCAATAATGCAGACAGTAAATTTGAAAGTAAACCTCAAAAAGATGAAATTTCATTAACTCATAAAATTTTGTAAAAAGAAACTCACATCTCTTGGCCATTGGATTTAGCTTCTTCTAAGGTAAGATCTACCCACATCGGTGCTTCAATCTCATCCTACATATAAATTAACAAATTGAAAAACAACAATAAGTAGCCAGTGAGTGCAAGAAAACCCTAAGGATCAGAATATAATAAAAGCACATATATTACCTCGCAATCAGAACAAATCCTAATTCCTAGTACATTAACCAAAATAATTAATAATAAGTATTGGATCTCCTTCCCCACTGAAATGAATGAAACAAGGAGAAAAAATACACGCAATCTGATTCGTAAGATTTGACACTTAAAATTTCTTAATCTGTCCTTCACTTTCTCAGCAACCTAACACATCCAAATCAAGTCTACTAGAACTACCTGAGACTTTAGCAGACAAAAGTTATATAAAAAAAAAAAAAATCTAATATAAGAACAAACACCGAAACTGAAAAGGATAAATCCAATGAACTCATACAAACTACCTCAAGAGTTAACACTTCAATTTCTTGATTTTCTCTTCATTTTCTTAGCAGCAAACATATCCAAATCAAGTCAATCGAAGCTACCGGAAAATGAAGAAAAAAAAAACACTAATGAAAGAACAAACACAGAAACTGACATTGATAAATCCAGTGAACTAAACAACACCAATATTATACACAAACATATGAAATAAATAAATAAATAAAAAGAGAGTATTGCAGAGACCGAATTCAAGAATTAAACAAATACATAGAAGAAGATGAAGAAATGCGGATTTACCAAAAAAGCCCAGTGATCTTTAGTCTTGTTGAGAATCATTTTCTTGAAGGATTTTTCAAATGAGGAATTTGAATGAAATCACTTGAAAATCAAGAAAGTTTGTGTCTTGATGATCTTATAACGTTCTAATTTCTCCATTTTCATGGCAAAATTGGCTCCACAACTTCTCTTACTGTGTCAAAATTATGATGAAGAGGGTCGGGCCAACGGCGTCGTCGTTGAAAAGGAATTCGACCGTTCCATTTTTGACTGTCATAGTGGGGAAAATTTTTAGATGGTTTGTGGAGGTTGGTTGGTGGTATGAGATTAGTGATTGGACGGCTGAGATTGATTGTAAAGTGTGTAGTGGGGCATATTATACAATATGTTATTATGAGAGCAGTGTGCTGGAATGGAGCCAAATGATTTGACCGTTAGAAGGATTCAAAATGCTGGCACTGGGATAGTGTGAGTAGGCGGTCGTTTATTGAGGTGAAGGACAAATCCTATTTCTTGAAAAAATTTCTCTTTTCTAAATTGAAGTCCAAAATATATTTAGAGGTGACTTTGGCTTCGTTTTGTTCAAAATTTGGGGGTTTTGGGAAAAGTTTTTTGAAAAAAATTAAAAAAAGTTGAATTGGGCGGATATTACGATGTAGAATTTATAAATTAATAAAATACCCTTTATGTTTTTTTTTTACAAAATACCCCCTATAATAAAACATTAAAAGTTAACAAAAATACCTCTAACCCACCCTCAAACACCCCCAGCCGGCGACCACCACCTGAGGTGGCCGAAGTCACCTTATGGGCGCATGACCGGTTGGATATTGCCGATCATGCGTCGCTATGGCCTTTTCCGGCCAGATCCATGGTGGATCTGGCCGGAATCTGGTAAATTGGATTGTTAGGGTGTTTTTGTAATTAAAAAAAATATTTAGGGGTATAATTAAATTAACAAATTTAGAGGGTTTAAAAAAAATTAAATAATATTGAAAATAGTATTCCCAAAATAGGAATTTTGGGTATTTTACTGTTTAAATTTTTGGGAATAACAGAGTAGTATTCCCCATCTGAACCAAACGGAGCTTTTAGCATTGTGAATAATGTTTTGGGTAGACTATACCATCTGGGTTATCAGAGGTCTTTTGTTCAGTCCGAAAAGTGGTTATCTACTACATTTGATTTATCTGTTATTGAGATTGTAGAAGGTTCAATGATTCCGAGAATGAGTTGAGTTGCACGCAAGTGGTTGAAACACCCGTTATAAAAAAAAAAAAAAAAAAAAAAAAATTTTGGGTATAATTTGATATTTTAATAGAAGAAAAAAAAATACTTAAAAGTGTTATTTTGAAAATTATGATAGCTTTTTTTTAAAAAATTAAAGTGATGATAATATCTTTTAAAAGCATATCAAACTTTTCTCAATATAGTGTGTTGATTTTAGTTCATAATTAATTAGGAAAAGTGTGAAAGAAACAACGTAATGATACAAAAAGAGAAAGTGGATGTAATCATAATCAGTCAATGGTTATAAATAGAAGTAAATATTGAAAGGGAGGTAAACGAATTTTCCACGCACCTTAAGACTTTCTCACCAAAAAAATTTAAAGTTCTACTTTTCATAACGTTTATATTCCGTTAATACCCAAAATATACTTTACTTTCTCAGTAGGCATTCAACGAGTTATCAGGAGCCAAGATAAGAAAGGTTTTGTAGAGTAAAGGCTGGTAGATCAAATGGTGGTGACCGATTGAATATTCGTCGTTAAAATCAGCTAAAAACAAAAATCTCTAGTTTTGCGATGACCAACAATTGACCAAAAATCAAGTGCTTGAATGAGATGAGTTTTGTAGAAAGAAGACCGAAGATTTAAATGGTGACGACAGAGAGAATTTTCGTCATCTGAATCAGCCAAAATTTGACTTTGGGTAGTAATAGAATATTAACTTTGGGTGAGAAAGTGATATGAAACTTTTTGGGTGGGAAAGAGCCGGTTACTCTTTGAAAGGAATAGCTTTCGTATGGTGTTTTACAACTTCAATTTTTTTCATTTAAAAAGGGTTGAAAATAAGACCTAAAGTAAATAGTAATTAACTTTATTACACAAGACGCCCTTGTTCTAAGTTTGGGTTACTATAATCCAATTTTATAGAGATGAAAAATATAAATGCATCCAAGATTTTTGAAAAGCATTATATATCCCTATTAATTAGGAGGGTTTTAATACTTTTTTAGGGGAGTAAATGGTAATCCAAGTGGGTATACAATACTTTTACAAAATGTTGGGTGTATAATATTTCAATATTTCATGAGGGTTTAAATAATAACCCTTGTAAGTGTATTTGAGTAAAAATAAAAAAGCTGAAACCGTAAAGCGGGGATAGCTCAGTTGGGAGAGCGTCAGACTGAAGATCTGAAGGTCACGTGTTCGATCCACGTTCACCGCATTTTTCATATTTTAAATCCTTTAACGACGTCGTTTAGTCCCCACTTCAAGTTTCCCTATGCTGAACGACGCCCCATTTTTTCATTTTCAAACAAACGTTATTTACACCCACTTAAAGTTTCCATATACTGAACGACGTCGTATAGTTTATTTATTCCATCACAAACAAAAGCCCAAAGTGATGAGATTTTAATCGAACAAGCTATATCCATGAATTGGGCCAAGCAAAAGCTCTCTCCCACCAAGCAATTCTCAACCCATCTTGCTACCCAAACTAGAATAATCCAGTACACCACACTGAAGATTTTTCCCAAGTTAAAAAATAATCTGAAGGCAAGAGTAGACAAGAACTAGATTATGTGTGGATAGAAGGATATGAGTTGGAGATACTTAAAAATCCTTAGCGGCCATTTGATTGGCTGAATCAAACCTCACAATCCCCACCACACCTTGCAAAATTTCCACCACAACCCATTTCTTCACTCTCATTTTCTAACACATATAAAACATTCATCTCCCTTTCTTCAACCTGTTCAACACACACATTAACATTAAACTTTCAACACAAAAAAATAGTAGTAAATGTCATCAATGCTAAGCTCTAGCACCACCCTGAGGCCTACCCCGTTTCTTGGCCAAACCAGGTCAAGTGTTAACCCTCTCAGAGATGTTGTCTCCATGGGCAATGCAAAGTACACTATGGTAATTTTTAGTTCTACTCTATTTCCATTCACATGCAAATTTGTGTACTTCAAGTGGGTTCAGTTGAGTTGAGTTGAGTTTGTGTGTGTACAGGGAAATGAATTGTGGTATGGACCTGACAGAGTGAAGTACTTGGGACCCTTTTCAGCTCAGACTCCATCATACTTGACTGGTGAGTTTCCAGGGGACTATGGATGGGACACTGCCGGTTTGTCTGCTGATCCTGAGGCCTTTGCCAGGAACAGGGCTCTTGAGGTGATTCTTTTGTTCTTCTCTTTTAATTTTGTGATTCACTTTGTAACTAGCTTCTTTAATCAATCTGTGAGAAATCATACTGTTAAATGTTTAATTATCAAGTCTAATATGGTTTAGGATAGAGAATATATTTCATATTCTTTCATTAAAAGTATAATCTTACCTCGAGATTTGTCCTTCAACTGCTTGAAAGTAGATAGTTGTGTGTTTGAAAATAATTAAAACACCGTATGGAATATTGATCAGAATACTTGGTCACATTTTTGTTGTACTATTCATTAGGTGATCCATGGGAGATGGGCTATGCTTGGAGCACTAGGGTGCATCACCCCTGAAGTTCTTGAGAAATGGGTTAGAGTAGACTTCAAGGAGCCAGTGTGGTTCAAGGCAGGAGCTCAGATTTTCTCAGAAGGAGGCCTTGACTACTTGGGAAACCCCAACCTTGTTCATGCTCAAAGCATCCTGGCAGTCCTGGGATCCCAGGTTGTCCTCATGGGACTCGTAGAAGGGTTCAGAATCAACGGTCTCCCTGGTGTCGGAGAGGGCAACGATCTCTACCCCGGCGGCCAATACTTTGACCCTCTTGGCCTTGCTGATGATCCAGTTGCATTTGCTGAACTCAAGGTGAAGGAGATCAAGAATGGAAGGCTAGCCATGTTTTCGATGTTTGGTTTCTTCGTCCAAGCTATTGTTACCGGCAAGGGTCCCCTGGAGAACCTCCTGGATCACCTCGAGAACCCTGTCGCTAACAATGCTTGGGTTTACGCTACCAAATTTGTGCCCGGATCTTAAACTGATTATCATTTACTCAAATTCTTGTGTCATGTGAAATGTATATTGTAAAAATTCTATCCCATTGAGATCCTTATCATCTCTAACTTGATTTTGTTGTTGATCTTGTCTGTTTAGATGCATTGTTTAAGAAATAGCAAACTATTGCAAAGTGTGAAAATAATGGTGTTATTTTAAGGCAGAATAATTGTGACCAGATTATATAATATTAACACTTTTTCTTTCCATATTTAATAACCTTGGTACTACAATTCTTGACATCACATCAAAGACAGCATAATATACACCAACTACACAAATAATTTCAAAAGAAAAAAAGACTGATCTCTAAGGAATATCCCTATTGGACTATGGACATGGTCATTGGTCATTCCACCAAAGTAACAAAAATTGGTAAATATACAAATATTTTTTCTCCCTCACACCATATAAACAACCGTAGCACCTGCCATAGATATAAAGCAACTTCACCTGAGGACGGAAACAGGCATAGTTTCGGAAATATTTCTTTCTCCACCTGTAATCCTCGAATTGTCACCTTCGTCTTAACACAAACGGCGATGCTAATATGAAGTGGAATACTATGAAACTTTTGAGCTTAGCTTTCCCCACCATGTGCGTCGAACCTCTGAGTTCGCCACTTTATGAAGCCTTACCTTAGTCTCCCTTAATCTTGTCTTGTAATCTTTCTTCCATGCCTCAAACCTTGATTTCAATTTTCGAAGCTCGGCATCAGGATGCACATTAGGAAGTGGCACCGTTGTTTTAACCTCAACCAAAGCTTTGGCATCATCATCAAAAGTCTGTTTCCGCTGCTCAAATTCCTTTACCAGATTGTTGACAGCAGTCAAACCACCATTAGACCCTCTGCCTGCTCCATCAGCATTGGCATTGGAATATTTGACGGGTGTAGTTCCACCAGGAGTTCGAGATCCCATGGATGTTGCATCCTCAGAATCATAAAAGTGAGGTGATGAAGATGTTTCTCTTCCAGCCTCACCTACAGTGTTATCAGCAGCAAGGCTTTTTCTGGCAGCAGCAAGACTCATCTGCATCAAAATTACGATGAAAAGGTCAAGCATCTCAGTACTTTAATCATTTAGGGTGGAACTCTTACATCCTATAAGTATTCCTGTGCCAGTGCATGCATATTAAGGTAGGCATATATTGTTTCATACAGATCACATCTGGAGCTTTTGACAGATATATTTGAGAAACCATCAGAGTTAAAAAAAAAAAATCACACATGTTTCCCTATAGGTAACCGAGGATACTAATTGAATTCACCAGGCAAAGACAGACACAAGTTACTAGAGACATGCCATTGAGCTCTTTATAATTATCCAAGTACCGTGAAGACTACACTTGGAAGTAGAAACTGATTAATTTGGTTATCTATCCTGCAGTACATGCCTTCCAATGTGATTCATAGACCAATGAAGTTTTGCCTACCATCCAAGAACCTCATTTAATGTTAATTGACCAACAAAACATGGCATGTTCGCTAGCTAAAAGAGCCATGATGTGTTAGCTAATAAAGATTTTTCCACTATTTTCAAAGTTTTCAGGACCCCTTTCATTAGTCAACCGCTACAGTGTATATAAATATATGATGACTAGACTTATGTATACACATGCAAAAACTCACTTGCAAAGATGACATCTGCTTTTGCCACATCTCCTCCATAGATTTCATCTTTGCCTCGTACTCTGTCCACCTTGTTTCATACTGTTGTAATTGTTCACGCAAAGCAGCATTTTCCTCTTCTTTTTGGCCCATAGTAGCTTCTGCCTCAAGAACTCGCCTTCGAAGCTCCGCCAAAGCTGAAGGCAGAAGCTGGGCCTGCTCTTGTGGCAAATCCTGGCACCAAGTAAAGTCACCTTTTCAATCCTTCTGAGTTGCTTAAATTTAAACATATAATGACAAATAGAAGCAAAAAGAAAAGGCATGCTTAATTATACATGTGCAGATATCTTCTCTGAATTGCATTAACAACATCAGTGTTTGCCAGAGTCACATACTTGTTCCTAACAATCCAAAGTTAATCTCAAATCTCAATGATAAAAGCTGCATACATTTTATGCAACATATGTTCCATAAACCTATATGCAATTTAAATGTAATTTGCATATTAAGCACTATGTATGAAGCTAGAATGAGCTAAAGCACATATATCAGATCTTTAACCCTTCTCTAAAATTTATGTTAAATCATTATAGGATAAAAACTAGCCAATATAGAAATTTTGTCTAGTATCATTAAAATGTAATTAGGAAAAACTCATAACACATTGAAGAATTCACGTGGTTATGCCTGCAAAAGAGACTACCAACTAATTGCAACAAGAGTAACAAAAGAAAAACATTCAGGAGCAGAAACAATATTTTTTTACATTAACGAAGGCATAAAGAAGAGTACCTTCACTTCTAAAATTTTCCAGCAAGGCCTCTTTTTAGATTTTGAATTCACAAGATTTGATTGTTTTAAATTATGCATGTAATGCTTCCGAACCAACCACCCACGGATTACTGCACAGAAAAATAACAAAGAATAAAAAACTGTATGCTATAAAAGGAACCACAAAGCTGGCCAGCCAACAACATAATTTTACCGGATTGCAAAAATATGATTGTTGTCAACGGCTCATCCAGTATTTGGGGAGCACTAGCTGTGCACCTCTTTTCCAAAGTAGCATATTTCACTCTAGCATTTTCACCACGAACAACTGTATTGTATAACTAAATTTCATCACATGACTGGACCAAAAAACTCAAACAATACTGAACATCAAAAGACAAGCTTCTCAGAATATATAAGCATAAATCTGCATTTTGAGTCAGCAAAAATTAAAAGATCCAACAGGAAATATAAGCAATTGTATGCAATGAAGCAAAATTTAGTCAACAGTAATACTAAATTAGAAAGAAAAAGCATTACATGATTGCAATGTTATTACTCCTTTCTTGAGTTCATGGAAATAATGACGAGCCCGGCGACCACGGAAAAACTTTTGAAGCCCAACTACTCCTTGCAAAACTTGTTTTCTCCTATCCTCCAACACACCAACCTATAATATAAGACACCATGAAAAAAGGGAAAAAGTGAATCCAATATGAAAGATAATCTATTAAAAACAGAGCAGAATATGATATGAGTCATTGTTCCCAAAGTCAGCAGATTACGTTAAATTGCGAAGCTATCATGTTTTCTGTTCACCAAATAAATCATCATGTTTTCCGTTCACCAAATAAATCATCCACCTTCAAATGTTAATATTGGTAGAATCTCTTGGCTAAATTATTGTTCTCAAGTGGATAACTATGCAAGTGCATATGTTTAAAAGACACTACTATGATTAAAATTCATCACAAGAAATTCTTACGCATCCAAAGGAAATTTTTTAATCTACTGTGACACCCTCTCCCTTTGCTAAGTTACAATGTCATATCTAAAATAGTTAAACCTTCATAGCTGATATTGATCATCTGAAAAACTTACTTCAACTGTTAAAAGATTGATAAAAATATTTAAGTATCTTCTCATTTGAAATAAGAGATTTGTAAGAAACTGGTTTTATACTATAAAATATAAATGCAAAATTTAATATCAGGTATATATCCATATGGTCACAAAAAAAAATTGATATGATTGACCTTGAAAAACTTCAATAAACATAAATTTAATTCTTTCCTTTTCCTTTTCTCAGCTGCCTATTTTGGAAGTATATTTTTAAGTCAAAGATTCACACCATGTTTTTCAGTGAATATTTGTGGCAGAATAGTTAGTAATACAAAGAGATTGTCAGATGGCGAAATCTTAGCAATGTACTTAAAGCTACATTTGTGGTGACACGAAACAGTTTACATTGTAGGAGCCTTTTAACGTGAAAGATGGACAGGATATGAGAAGAATTAAAAACACTTGCAAGATTCTGGAGATTACCTGCCCGGAACGGATATACAATTTGGTATAACCAACTTGATACATTTCAGGAAGAACATTAAACTGCTGTAAAACAGCCACTGATATACTTAATGGATCCCGAGATACATGGTTCTCCGAGAGCAGGAATCCATACCTAGAATAAATGCAAGTACACACAAGAATTAACCAAGAATTAAGACAAAACATTAAAAAAAAAAAAAAAGCAAGGGTTGGTTTACTCTCTACCTTCCTGCAAACTCTTGATGTGTCATTCGAGAAGGATATCCTGATCTTGAGATTCTAACCACCTCCAAAATTCCACAACACCTGAGCTGTTGTAAAATAAGATCTTCATCATATATACCGGGAAGCCGCTTACTGTTTGGCTTTATGCAGCGAATAAAGTGAGGTTTTGTGTTCTCCAACTGCTGCATTAGTTTGAAGAGTTGACCCTATAAACATGGAAGAGACCCGCTAGGGTTATGCAAAACATAATTTAGAAAAATCTCTAGCATTTAACAAAATAAGTGGAGCTTTCAACGGTTATCAGATGTTTTGCTCAGTAAATGAACATTAAGAACTCATGGTGAGTAAAAGATATATTCTCATAGCCTTAAAGCAACAGGAAGCACATCAAAATTACATAACTTATTCAATGAAATCTCAAAGTGCCAACAGATTTAGTACTTTTTATATCAAAAGATACTGTTCAATTTCAGCTTCAACAGTTGGGTTGAGTTGTAAAGGCCTTTGGTTCCAAATCAAGGATTCAACTACCCTTGGATGCACTAATTTTGAATATTATATGGAACAAGTTTCTAGACCACCAAGGTCGTACATTCTAGGAGTACTCCTCAGTTTCAAACTCATGAACAACCAAGAAAAGTAGAATTTAAGGGTTAAAAATACAGTTGATTCTTCAAATCATCCCAAATAATGACCTTAAACTGTCATAAGTTTCATCATCCAACTTGAAGTAATTTGTAAAAATACACCCACATATGTAATCATATAAATATATGAATCAAGTAAACTGACCTTGAACTTTGTACCAACACTTTGCTTTTTAGAATCCAATGAACAAAAGTTAGCTGATTTATGGGACTGCTTAGGCATTTTGGAAAACAACTTTAGGAGTTGGCAAGAACATGATGACAGAAGTTGGATGAGGTCAGAGTGCAGAGGATCTCGATTCTTCTCCAGAAAGCCATTCGTGTCATATAGAACCTGATAAGATTCCAAACGTTACTAAATTCATATATGCATTATGGATGAATCAAGTGGCAAAAAGGACAATGGTTTCACCCTAAGTGTAGCAAGAAAAAAAACCGTGCAGAGTATACTGCCAGCTAACCTCATTTTAAAGGGATGATGCTAATGGAATAGTCCAACTCAGAATAAGAGAAAATAGTGCTAATATTAAGTATCATTTAAATTTACCTTCATTACCAATTTAGGTCACTGTTAAAATCACAGCAAGATCAACAATATTACAAAGGCTCTTCAAGGTTCCATTAAGGAATCGTTGGCCATTACACTGAATTCAAAATTTTGAAACTACTGCACTTTAAAAGTAAGTCTAAATTAGACAAATAATTGGTGAAACAATAGTCCTTTTCTTACAGAGAAACAGAAAGAAGAAATAAATAGAGGCAAAGATGTCAGATCTCATATCATATGAAAAAGTTTGGCTCTTCCCAATTTTGTACCATCAAGGTTTCAAGTCTCACAGAATTTTCATTATCTCTCTCCTGTACACATATGCTACACTTTTGTCACACTAGGATATTGCTTCTGTTTGTTCTCTAATTATTTTTGTTCTTTCTATGCCCATTATTCACATAAGTTCATAAAATCATAAAATCCTTCATAGGGACTAGGACTCCATCAGCAAAGCAAAAAGCCAGATTGAGTCCAAAGTCAACTATCTGAATTCTATAAGTCTAATAGTGCAGGTTAAATAATGGGAAAAATAAATTTGTAAACACCTCAAAAAAAAAAGAAATAGCCAACCTCTCCAGCGTAATGTCGAATACCAAAAGCTCTGCCTCTCTCCCCTTTAAAGCAAGAATTTAAACTCAAGTGCTGTTTAAGCTTATTTGCAAATGTCAAATCAGTGGCTTTTGGGAAATTTGATTCCTCATCTAGTAAAGATAGTATCCCCAATGGTTTCTGCAGAAAATACCACATAGTCAGAAAAAGACTGAAACCATGAAGGCAAACATAAATGACAATCTATGAACCTAAAGTAACAATTAGATTCCAAAGCTCAGACAATATAATCTTTTAGAGTGATTGGAAGAAACAAGATTTAGTAAGACATAGCACAAAACATAATATTAAGGTAAACCAAATGGAGGTTGACTCATTGAAATACCTTCTCAATTAGATTCAAACACTCTTCATTGTCTTCAAATTCAACTTTGGTCCAATCAATGCCGTCTAATTCATATTCCTACAATGAAAATGGTAAATCATGACTGCACTATTTATAACAACCATTGATAATTCAAATTACAGGAAAATTTCTGCAGCAGGAAAAAGAAAAAAACACATCTAGAAATGAGAGTCAGTGCCAAAGAAAACAGGGGTGTAAAGCCAGATTAGATTTGTGATGCTCACCTCCTGCTCAAGTTTAAATAGATGCCGGTTGAAATGTTGTTGCAGCCTCTCATTTGCATAATTAATACAAAACTGTTCAAAGCTATTCTTCTGCACATGAGAAAATTGTCACCATGGATGCAACATTATAGCACAGAAAGCACCAGCAGAATATAAATACCAAGTAGTATACCTTAAAAGATTCAAACCCACAAATATCAAGGATACTTATGGATCTCCCTGTTTGCCATTTGCCCAGTTCAAGTGATTTGTTAATTTGTTCTACAAGCCATTCAAACAAGCTTCCGTATATGAATTTTGCCAATGCATCCCGGGTATCAATCGCCTAAATAATGGATAATAAATTAGTTTTAATGTTCCAAGAGATGAGTTATTTGGTGTAGCATAGATGCACACACACATTGTTGGAAAACTGATAAATCTGCTAATAAACTCCTAGACAAACCTGCTGCAATGTCAACTTTTTAGCAATACCATCCCTGCCAGCTTGAATTTTATGGGTAGATAAAGCTAGCATCAGTGCCTCAGCACTGCAACCCATCAGCCTAGCAGCAGAAGTTACAGCTGCCAAAAGGAAATATAGGTGGAGTTAATTCACATAAGCATCTTTTGAAGTCATAATTCTAAGTATGAGCTATAGACATAAGCACTACAGATAAACACACATATAACACACAGCAAATGTAACCCAAGTATGATGAAAAAACAACCCAGCAATACTCAATTAAATAGGAGTGTTCATCAGAAAAGAAATTTTCAAATAATTCACACAGCATTAGTTTCTGCAAACCTCGTGCCAAACAACGATGGATACAACATTAGACGAGAGATTTCCACCAAAAAAGTATAGAATGGAAGTTTAGCTTATAGATGTTACCTTCATCAGCCAACACCTCCACATGATTCTCATTGTCGATTACTTGAAATGATATGTTTCCCAACCATAAAACCACAGCAAGCATAGCAAATGTATTGTCTTTGTCTTCTTTACAAATTTGAACCATGTCTAAGGCTTTCTGTAGAAATTGGAAATTAAACCACAATGAAAGGAAAAAAATTAAAAGAATGCACTGAAGAGCCAAGGATACAGGAATGAACTGAAAAGGGATTAACTCCCACAGATGAAGATGGTAACGTCTAACTTTCATATTACCATAAGATTATGAAAATTTTGAGCTTCATCAACACCATCAATTGCCAAGCATTCACTCTGATTAAGGTAGTTGTAATCACATGCCATTTTAAGGTTCAGTCTCTCTGCAAAGCAACAATTGAGTAAGCCAAGGTAAAAGAAAATTATCCTTATGAGGTTTCAAGAAATTAAATTATATGTCTACTGGGATACAGGACTATGTAATATCTACTTGAGAAGAATGGTGGATGCTTCTTGCTTATTAAAATAGAAATGTCTCTCATAAAACTCAAAATCACGATTTAAGAATATCCCACATCAGAATTGAAACACCAAAAACACTGTCAACGATCAACAACATGATAACTATAACAAGAATGCAAAGCATGAGAAAATAGAAACGAACACACTCCTGCTATAACTAAAACTGCGGCCTTCTCTTATAGGGGCAACAATGAAATTAAACTTTCCTGCAAAAGGATCCATTTGTCCAAAGACCAAACAATTTTGATTATTCCAACATTTTAGTTATATATAGTGTGACTTTCTGTAACATTTGACTTGCCTTGTTTCATACTGTTGTAATTGTTCACGCAAAGCAGCATTTTCCTCTCTTTTTGGCCCATATGTAGCTCTGCCTCAAGAACTCGCCTTCGAAGCTCCGCCAAAGCTGAAGGCAGAAGCTGGGCCTGCTCTTGTGGCAATCCTGGCACCAAGTAAAGTCACCTTTTCAATCCTTCTGATTGCTTAAATTTAAACATATAATGACAAATAGAAGCAAAAAAAAAGGCATGCTTAATTTACATGTGCAGATATCTTCTCTGAATTGCATTAACAACATCAGTGTTTGCCAGAGTCACACTTGTTCCTAACAATCCAAAGTTAATCTCAAATCTCAATGATAAAGCTTAATCATTTTATGCAACATATGTTCCATAAACCATATGCATTTAAATGTATTTTGCATATTAAGCATATGTATGAAGCTAGAATGAGCTAAAGCACATAATCAGATCTTTAACCCTTCCTAAATTTATGTTAAATCATTATAGGATAAAAACTAGCCAATGAAATTTTGTCTAGTATCATTAAAATGTAATTAGGAAAAACTCAAACACATTGAAGATTCACGTGGTTATGCCTGCAAAGAGACTACCAACTAATTGCAACAAGAGTAACAAAGAAAAACATTCAGGAGCAGAAACAATATTTTTACATTAACGAAGCATAAGAAGAGTACCTTCACTTCTAAATTTTCCAGCAAGGCCTCTTTTAGATTTTGAATTCACAAGATTTGATTGTTTTAAATTATGCAATAATGCTTCCGAACCAACCACCCCCGATTACTGCACAGAAAAATAACAAAGAATAAAAAACGTAGCTATAAAAGGAACCACAAAGCTGGCCAGCCAACAACATAATTTTACCGTATGCAAAAATATGATTGTTGTCAACGGCTCATCCAGTATTTGGGGAGCACTAGCTGTCCACCTCTTTTCCAAAGTGCATATTTCACTCTAGCATTTTCACCACGAACAACTGTATTGTATAACTAAATTTCATCACTGACTGACCAAAAAACCAAACAATACTGAACATCAAAAGACAAGCTTCTCAGAATATATAAGCATAAATCTGCATTTTGAGTCACAAAAATTAAAAGATCCAACAGGAAATATAAGCAATTGTATGCAATGAAGCAAATTTAGTCAACAATATACTAAATTAGAAGAAAAGCATTACATGATTGCAATGTTATACTCCTTTCTTGAGTTCATGGAAATAATGACGAGCCCGGCGACCACGGAAAAACTTTTGAAGCCCAACTACTCCTTGCAAAACTTGTTTTCTCCTATCCTCCAACACACCAACCTATAATTAAGACACATGAAAAGGGAAAAATGAATCCAATATAAGATAATCTATTAAAAACAGGCAGAATATGATTAGTCATTGTTCCCAAAGTAGCAGTTACGTTAAATTGCGAAGCTATCATTTTTTCTGTTCACCAAAAAATCATCAGTTTCCGTTCACCAAATAAATCATCCACCTTCAAATGTTAATATTGGTAGAATCTCTTGGCTAAATTATTGTTCTCAAGTGGATAACTATGCAAGTGCATATGTTTAAAAGACACTCTATATTAATTCATCAAAGAAATTCTTGAAATCCAAGGAAATTTTTTAATCTACTGGACACCCTCTCCCTTTGCTAGTTACAATGTCATATCTAAAATAGTTAAACCTTCATAGCTGATATTGATCACTAAAACTTACTTCAACTGTTAAAAGATTGATAAAATATTTAAGTATCTTCTCATTTGAAATAAGAGTTTGAAGAACTGTTTTTATACTATAAAATAAATGCAAAATTTAATATCAGGTATATATCCATACAGTCAAAAAAAAATTGTATGATTGACCTGAAAACTTAAATAAACAATATTAATTCTTTCTTTTCCTTTTCTCAGCTGCCTATTTTGAAGTAATTTTTTAAGTCAAAGATTCACACCATGTTTTTCAGTGAATATGTGTGGCGAATAGTTTAGTAATACAAGTGATTGTCAGATGGCGAAATCTTAGCAATGTACTTAAGCTACTTTGTGTGACACGAAACAGTTTACATTGTAGGAGCCTTTTAACGTGAAAGATGGACAGGATATGAGAAGAATTAAAAACACTTGCAAGATTCTGGAAATTACCTGCCCGACACGATATACAATTTGTATAACCAACTTGATACATTTCAGGAAGAACATTAAACTGCTGTAAAACAGCCACTGATATACTTAATGGATCCCGATACATGGTTCTCTGAGAGCAGAATCCATACCTAGTAATATGCAATTACACACAAGAATTAACCGAATTAAGACAAACATTAAAAAAAAAAGCAAGGGTTGGTTTACTCTCTACCTTCCTGCAAACCTTGATGTGTCATTCGAGAAGGATATCCTGATCTTGAGATTCTACCACCTCCCAAAATTCCACAACACCTGAGCTGTTGTAAAATAAGATCTTCATCTATATACCGGAAGCCGCTTACTTTTGGCTTTAGCAGCGAATAAGTGAGGTTTTGTGTTCTCCAACTGCTGCATTAGTTTGAAAGTTGACCCTATAATGGAAGAGACCCTAGGTTATGCAAACATAATTTAAAAATCTCTAGCATTACAAAATAAGTGGAGCTTTCAACGGTTATCAGATGTTTTGCTCAGTAATGAACATTAAGAACTCATGGTGAGTAAAAGATATATTCTCATACCTTAAAGCAACAGGAAGCACATCAAAATTACATAACTTATTCAATGAATCTCAAAGTGCCAACAGATTTAGTACTTTTTAATACAAAAGATACTGTAATTTCACTTCAACAGTTGGGTTGAGTTGTAAAGGCCTTTGGTTCCAAATCAAGGATTCAACTACCCTTGATGCACTAATTTTGAATATTAATGGAACAAGTTTCTAGACACCAAGGTCGTAATTCTAGGAGTACTCCTCAGTTTCAAACTCATGAACACCCAGAAGTAGAATTTAAGGGTTAAAATACAGTTGATTCTTCAAATCATCCCAAATAATACCTTAAACTATCATAAGTTTCATCATCCAATTGAAGTAATTTGTAAAAATACACCACATATGTAACATATAAATATATGAATCAAGTAAACGGACCTTGAACTTGTACCAACACTTTGCTTTTAGAATCCAATGAACAAAAGTTAGCTGATTTATGGGACTGTTAGGCATTTTGGAAAACACTTTAGGAGTTGGCAAGAACATGATGACAAAGTTGGATGAGGTCAGAGTGCAGAGGATCTCATTCTTCTCCAGAACCATTCGTGTCATATACCTGTAAGATTCCAAATGTACTAAATTCATAATGCATTATGGATGAATCAAGTGGCAAAAGGGCAATGGTTTCACCCTAATGTCAAGAAAAAAACCGTGCAGAGTTACAGCCACCTAACCTCATTTTAAAGGGATGATGCTAATGGAATAGCAACTCAGAATAAGAGAAAATAGGCTAATATTAAGTATCATTTAAATTTACCTTCATTACCAATTTAGGTCACTGTTAAAATCACAGCAAGATCAACAATATTCAAAGGCTCTTCAAGGTTCCATTAAGGAATCTTGGCCATTACACTGAATTCAAAATTTGAAACTACTGCACTTAAAGTAAGTCTAAATTAAAATAATTGGTGAAACAAGTCCTTTTCTTACGAGAAACAGAAAGAAAATAATAGAGGCAAAGATGTCAGATCTCATTCATATGAAAAGTTTGGCTCTTCCCAATTTTGTACCATCAAGGTTTCAAGTCTCACAGAATTTTCATTATCTCTCTCCTGTACACATATGCTATACTTTTGTCACACTAGGATATTGCTTCTGTTTGTTCTCTAATTATTTTTGCTTCTCTTTTAATTTTGTGATTCACTTTGTAACTAGCTTCTTTAATCAATCTGTGAGAAATCATACTGTTAAATGTTTAATTATCAAGTCTAATATGGTTTAGGATAGAGAATATATGTCATATTCTTTCATTAAAAGTATAATCTTACCTCGAGGTTTGTCCTTCAACTGCTTGAAAGTCGATAGTTGTGTGTTTGAAAATAATTAAAACACCGTATGGAATATTGATCAGAATACTTGGTCACATTTTTGTTGTACTATTCATTAGGTGATCCATGGGAGATGGGCTATGCTTGGAGCACTAGGCTGCATCACCCCTGAAGTTCTTGAGAAATGGGTTAGAGTAGACTTCAAGGAGCCAGTGTGGTTCAAGGCAGGAGCTCAGATTTTCTCAGAAGGAGGCCTTGACTACTTGGGCAACCCCAACCTTGTTCATGCTCAAAGCATCCTGGCAGTCCTAGGATCCCAGGTTGTCCTCATGGGACTCGTAGAAGGGTTCAGAATCAACGGTCTCCCTGGTGTCGGAGAGGGCAACGATCTCTACCCCGGCGGCCAATACTTTGACCCTCTTGGCCTTGCTGATGATCCAGTTGCATTTGCTGAACTCAAGGTGAAGGAGATCAAGAATGGAAGGCTAGCCATGTTTTCGATGTTTGGTTTCTTCGTCCAAGCTATTGTTACCGGCAAGGGTCCCCTGGAGAACCTCCTGGATCACCTCGAGAACCCTGTCGCTAACAATGCTTGGGTTTACGCTACCAAATTTGTGCCCGGATCTTAAACTGATTATCATTTACTCAAATTCTTGTTTCATGTGAAATGTATATTGTAAAAATTCTATCCCATTGAGATCCTTATCATCTCTAACTTGATGTTGTTGTTGATCTTGTCTGTTTAGATGCATTGTTTGAGAAATAGCAAACTATTGCAAAGTGTGAGAATAATGGTGTTATTTTAAGGCAGAATAATGGTGACCAGATTATATAATATTAACACTTTTTCTTTCCATATTTAATAACCTTGGTACTACAATTCTTGACATTACATCAAAGACAGCATAATATACACCAACTACACAAATAATTTCAAAAGAAAAAAATGACTTATCTCTAAGGAATATCCCTATTGGACTATGGACATGGTCATTGGTCATTCCACCAAAGTAACAAAAATTGGTACATATACAAATATTCTTTCTCCCTCACACCATATAAACACCCGCAGCAGCTGCCATAGATATAAAGCAACTTCACCTGAGGACGGAAACAGGCATAGTTTCGGAAATATTACTTTCTCCACCTGTAATCCTCGAATTGTCAGCTTCATCTTAACACAAACGGCGATGCTAATATGAAGTGGAATACTATGAAACTTTTGAGCTTAGCTTTCCCCACCATGTGCGTCGAACTTCTGAGTTCGCCACTTTATGAAGCCTTACCTTAGTCTCCCTTAATCTTGTCTTGTAATCTTTCTTCCATGCCTCAAACCTTGCTTTCAATTTTCGAAGCTCGGCATCAGGATGCACATTAGGAAGTGGCACCGTTGTTTTAACCTCAACCAAAGCTTTGGCATCATCATCAAAAGTCTGTTTCCGCTGCTCAAATTCCTTTACCAGATTGTTGACAGCAGTCAAACCACCATTAGACCCTCTGCCTGCTCCATCAGCATTGGCATTGGAATATTTGACGGGTGTAGTTCCACCAGGAGTTCGAGATCCCATGGATGTTGCATCCTCAGAATCATAAAAGTGAGGTGATGAAGATGTTTCTCTTCCAGCCTCACCTACAGTGTTATCAGCAGCAAGGCTTTTTCTGGCAGCAGCAAGACTCATCTGCATCAAAATTACGATGAAAAGGTCAAGCATCTCAGTACTTTAATCATTTAGGGTGGAACTCTTACATCCTATAAGTATTCCTGTGCCAGTGCATGCATATTAAGGTAGGCATATATTGTTTCATACAGATCACATCTGGAGCTTTTGACAGATATATTTGAGAAACCATCAGAGTTAAAAAAAAAAAATCACACATGTTTCCCTATAGGTAACCGAGGATACTAATTGAATTCACCAGGCAAAGACAGACACAAGTTACTAGAGACATGCCATTGAGCTCTTTATAATTATCCAAGTACCGTGAAGACTACACTTGGAAGTAGAAACTGATTAATTTGGTTATCTATCCTGCAGTACATGCCTTCCAATGTGATTCATAGACCAATGAAGTTTTGCCTACCATCCAAGAACCTCATTTAATGTTAATTGACCAACAAAACATGGCATGTTCGCTAGCTAAAAGAGCCATGATGTGTTAGCTAATAAAGATTTTTCCACTATTTTCAAAGTTTTCAGGACCCCTTTCATTAGTCAACCGCTACAGTGTATATAAATATATGATGACTAGACTTATGTATACACATGCAAAAACTCACTTGCAAAGATGACATCTGCTTTTGCCACATCTCCTCCATAGATTTCATCTTTGCCTCGTACTCTGTCCACCTTGTTTCATACTGTTGTAATTGTTCACGCAAAGCAGCATTTTCCTCTTCTTTTTGGCCCATAGTAGCTTCTGCCTCAAGAACTCGCCTTCGAAGCTCCGCCAAAGCTGAAGGCAGAAGCTGGGCCTGCTCTTGTGGCAAATCCTGGCACCAAGTAAAGTCACCTTTTCAATCCTTCTGAGTTGCTTAAATTTAAACATATAATGACAAATAGAAGCAAAAAGAAAAGGCATGCTTAATTATACATGTGCAGATATCTTCTCTGAATTGCATTAACAACATCAGTGTTTGCCAGAGTCACATACTTGTTCCTAACAATCCAAAGTTAATCTCAAATCTCAATGATAAAAGCTGCATACATTTTATGCAACATATGTTCCATAAACCTATATGCAATTTAAATGTAATTTGCATATTAAGCACTATGTATGAAGCTAGAATGAGCTAAAGCACATATATCAGATCTTTAACCCTTCTCTAAAATTTATGTTAAATCATTATAGGATAAAAACTAGCCAATATAGAAATTTTGTCTAGTATCATTAAAATGTAATTAGGAAAAACTCATAACACATTGAAGAATTCACGTGGTTATGCCTGCAAAAGAGACTACCAACTAATTGCAACAAGAGTAACAAAAGAAAAACATTCAGGAGCAGAAACAATATTTTTTTACATTAACGAAGGCATAAAGAAGAGTACCTTCACTTCTAAAATTTTCCAGCAAGGCCTCTTTTTAGATTTTGAATTCACAAGATTTGATTGTTTTAAATTATGCATGTAATGCTTCCGAACCAACCACCCACGGATTACTGCACAGAAAAATAACAAAGAATAAAAAACTGTATGCTATAAAAGGAACCACAAAGCTGGCCAGCCAACAACATAATTTTACCGGATTGCAAAAATATGATTGTTGTCAACGGCTCATCCAGTATTTGGGGAGCACTAGCTGTGCACCTCTTTTCCAAAGTAGCATATTTCACTCTAGCATTTTCACCACGAACAACTGTATTGTATAACTAAATTTCATCACATGACTGGACCAAAAAACTCAAACAATACTGAACATCAAAAGACAAGCTTCTCAGAATATATAAGCATAAATCTGCATTTTGAGTCAGCAAAAATTAAAAGATCCAACAGGAAATATAAGCAATTGTATGCAATGAAGCAAAATTTAGTCAACAGTAATACTAAATTAGAAAGAAAAAGCATTACATGATTGCAATGTTATTACTCCTTTCTTGAGTTCATGGAAATAATGACGAGCCCGGCGACCACGGAAAAACTTTTGAAGCCCAACTACTCCTTGCAAAACTTGTTTTCTCCTATCCTCCAACACACCAACCTATAATATAAGACACCATGAAAAAAGGGAAAAAGTGAATCCAATATGAAAGATAATCTATTAAAAACAGAGCAGAATATGATATGAGTCATTGTTCCCAAAGTCAGCAGATTACGTTAAATTGCGAAGCTATCATGTTTTCTGTTCACCAAATAAATCATCATGTTTTCCGTTCACCAAATAAATCATCCACCTTCAAATGTTAATATTGGTAGAATCTCTTGGCTAAATTATTGTTCTCAAGTGGATAACTATGCAAGTGCATATGTTTAAAAGACACTACTATGATTAAAATTCATCACAAGAAATTCTTACGCATCCAAAGGAAATTTTTTAATCTACTGTGACACCCTCTCCCTTTGCTGAGTTACAATGTCATATCTAAAATAGTTAAACCTTCATAGCTGATATTGATCATCTGAAAAACTTACTTCAACTGTTAAAAGATTGATAAAAATATTTAAGTATCTTCTCATTTGAAATAAGAGATTTGCAAGAAACTGGTTTTATACTATAAAAAATAAATGCAAAATTTAATATCAGGTATATATCCATACAGTCACAAAAAAAAATTGATATGATTGACCTTGCAAAACTTAAATAAACATAAATTTAATTCTTTCTTTTTCCTTTTCTCAGCTGCCTATTTTAGAAGTATATTTTTAAGTCAAAGATTCACACCATGTTTTTCAGTGAATATGTGTGGCTGAATAGTTAGTAATACAAAGTGATTGTCAGATGGCGAAATCTTAGCAATGTACTTACAGCTACATTTGTGGTGACATGAAACAGTTTACATTGTAGGAGCCTTTTAACGTGAAAGATGGACAGGATATGAGAAGAATTAAAAACACTTGCAAAATTCTGGAAATTACCTGCCCGGAACGGATATACAATTTGGTATAACCAACTTGATACATTTCAGGAAGAACATTAAACTGCTGTAAAACAGCCACTGATATACTTAATGGATCCTGAGATACATGGTTCTCCGAGAGCAGGAATCCATACCTAGAATAAATGCAAGTACACACAAGAATTAACCAAGAATTAAGACAAAACATTAAAAAAAAAAAAAAAGCAAGGGTTGGTTTACTCTCTACCTTCCTGCAAACTCTTGATGTGTCATTCGAGAAGGATATCCTGATCTTGAGATTCTAACCACCTCCAAAATTCCACAACACCTGAGCTGTTGTAAAATAAGATCTTCATCATATATACCGGGAAGCCGCTTACTGTTTGGCTTTATGCAGCGAATAAAGTGAGGTTTTGTGTTCTCCAACTGCTGCATTAGTTTGAAGAGTTGACCCTATAAACATGGAAGAGACCCGCTAGGGTTATGCAAAACATAATTTAGAAAAATCTCTAGCATTTAACAAAATAAGTGGAGCTTTCAACGGTTATCAGATGTTTTGCTCAGTAAATGAACATTAAGAACTCATGGTGAGTAAAAGATATATTCTCATAGCCTTAAAGCAACAGGAAGCACATCAAAATTACATAACTTATTCAATGAAATCTCAAAGTGCCAACAGATTTAGTACTTTTTATATCAAAAGATACTGTTCAATTTCAGCTTCAACAGTTGGGTTGAGTTGTAAAGGCCTTTGGTTCCAAATCAAGGATTCAACTACCCTTGGATGCACTAATTTTGAATATTATATGGAACAAGTTTCTAGACCACCAAGGTCGTACATTCTAGGAGTACTCCTCAGTTTCAAACTCATGAACAACCAAGAAAAGTAGAATTTAAGGGTTAAAAATACAGTTGATTCTTCAAATCATCCCAAATAATGACCTTAAACTGTCATAAGTTTCATCATCCAACTTGAAGTAATTTGTAAAAATACACCCACATATGTAATCATATAAATATATGAATCAAGTAAACTGACCTTGAACTTTGTACCAACACTTTGCTTTTTAGAATCCAATGAACAAAAGTTAGCTGATTTATGGGACTGCTTAGGCATTTTGGAAAACAACTTTAGGAGTTGGCAAGAACATGATGACAGAAGTTGGATGAGGTCAGAGTGCAGAGGATCTCGATTCTTCTCCAGAAAGCCATTCGTGTCATATAGAACCTGATAAGATTCCAAATGTTACTAAATTCATACATGCATTATGGATGAATCAAGTGGCAAAAAGGGCAATGGTTTCACCCTAACTGTAGCAAGATAAAAAACCGTGCAGAGTGTACAGCCACCTAACCTCATTTTTAAAGGGATGATGCTAATGGAATAGTCCAACTCAGAATAAGAGAAAATAGCGCTAATATTAAGTATCATTTAAATTTACCTTCATTACCAATTTAGGTCACTGTTAAAATCACAGCAAGATCAACAATATTACAAAGGCTCTTCAAGGTTCCATTAAGGAATCGTTGGCCATTACACTGAATTCAAAATTTTGAAACTACTGCACTTTAAAAGTAAGTCTAAATTAGACAAATAATTGGTGAAACAATAGTCCTTTTCTTACAGAGAAACAGAAAGAAGAAATAAATAGAGGCAAAGATGTCAGATCTCATATCATATGAAAAAGTTTGGCTCTTCCCAATTTTGTACCATCAAGGTTTCAAGTCTCACAGAATTTTCATTATCTCTCTCCTGTACACATATGCTACACTTTTGTCACACTAGGATATTGCTTCTGTTTGTTCTCTAATTATTTTTGTTCTTTCTATGCCCATTATTCACATAAGTTCATAAAATCATAAACTCCTTCATAGGGACTAGGACTCCATCAGCAAAGCAAAAAGCCAGATCGAGCCCAAAGTCAACTATCTGAATTCTATAAGTCTAATAGTGCAGGTTAAATCATGTGAAAAATAAATTTGTAAACACCTCAAAAAAAAAAGAAATAGCCAACCTCTCCAGCGTAATGTCGAATACCAAAAGCTCTGCCTCTCTCCCCTTTAAAGCAAGAATTTAAACTCAAGTGCTGTTTAAGCTTATTTGCAAATGTCAAATCAGTGGCTTTTGGGAAATTTGATTCCTCATCTAGTAAAGATAGTATCCCCAATGGTTTCTGCAGAAAATACCACATACTCAGAAAAATACTGAAACCATGAAGGCAAACATAAATGACAATCTATGAACCTAAAGTAACAATTAGATTCCAGAGTTCAGACAATATAATCTTTTAGAGTGATTGGAAGAAACAAGATTTAGTAAGACATAGCACAAAACATAATATTAAGGTAAACCAAATGGAGGTTGACTCATTGAAATACCTTCTCAATTAGATTCAAACACTCTTCATTGTCTTCAAATTCAACTTTGGTCCAATCAATGCCGTCTAATTCATATTCCTACAATCAAAATGGTAAATCATGACTGCACTATTTATAACAACCATTGATAATTCAAATTACAGGAAAATTTCTGCAGCAGGAAAAAGAAAAAAACACATCTAGAAATGAGAGTCAGTGCCAAAGAAAACAAGGGTGTAAAGCCAGATTAGATTTGTGATGCTCACCTCCTGCTCAAGTTTAAATAGATGCCGGTTGAAATGTTGTTGCAGCCTCTCATTTGCATAATTAATACAAAACTGTTCAAAGCTATTCTTCTGCACATGAGAAAATTGTCACCATGGATGCAACATTATAGCACAGAAAGCACCAGCAGAATATAAATACCAAGTAGTATACCTTAAAAGATTCAAACCCACAAATATCAAGGATACTTATGGATCTCCCTGTTTGCCATTTGCCCAGTTCAAGTGATTTGTTAATTTGTTCTACAAGCCATTCAAACAAGCTTCCGTATATGAATTTTGCCAATGCATCCCGGGTATCAATCGCCTAAATAATGGATAATAAATTAGTTTTAATGTTCCAAGAGATGAGTTATTTGGTGTAGCATAGATGCACACACACATTGTTGGAAAACTGATAAATCTGCTAATAAACTCCTAGACAAACCTGCTGCAATGTCAACTTTTTAGCAATACCATCCTTGCCAGCTTGAATTTTATGGGTAGATAAAGCTAGCATCAGTGCCTCAGCACTGCAACCCATCAGCCTAGCAGCAGAAGTTACAGCTGCCAAAAGGAAATATAGGTGGAGTTAATTCACATAAGCATCTTTTGAAGTCATAATTCTAAGTATGAGCTATAGACATAAGCACTACAGATAAACACACATATAACACACAGCAAATGTAACCCAAGTATGATGAAAAAACAACCCAGCAATACTCAATTAAATAGGAGTGTTCATCAGAAAATAAATTTTCAAATAATTCACACAGCATTAGTTTCTGCAAACCTCATGCCAAACAACAATGGATACAGCATTAGACGAGAGATTTCCACCAAAAAAGTACAGAATGGAAGTTTAGCTTATAGATGTTACCTTCATCAGCCAACACCTCCACATGATTCTCATTGTCAATTACTTGAAATGATATGTTTCCCAACCATAAAACCGCAGCAAGCATAGCAAATGTATTGTCTTTGTCTTCTTTACAAATTTGAACCATGTCTAAGGCTTTCTGTAGAAATTGGAAATTAAACCACAATGAAAGGAAAAAAATTAAAAGAATGCACTGAAGAGCCAAGGATACAGGAATGAACTGAAAAGGGATTAACTCCCACAGATGAAGATGGTAACGTCTAACTTTCATATTACCATAAGATTATGAAAATTTTGAGCTTCATCAACACCATCAATTGCCAAGCATTCACTCTGATTAAGGTAGTTGTAATCACATGCCATTTTAAGGTTCAGTCTCTCTGCAAAGCAACAATTGAGTAAGCCAAGGTAAAAGAAAATTATCCTTATGAGGTTTCAAGAAATTAAATTATATGTCTACTGGGATACAGGACTATGTAATATCTACTTGAGAAGAATGGTGGATGCTTCTTGCTTATTAAAATAGAAATGTCTCTCATAAAACTCAAAATCACGATTTAAGAATATCCCACATCAGAATTGAAACACCAAAAACACTCTCAACAATCAACAACATGATAACTATAACAAGAATGCAAAGCATGAGAAAATAGAAACGAACACACTCCTGCTATAACTAAAACTGCGGCCTTCTCTTATAGAGGCAACAATGAAATTAAACTTTCCTGCAAAAGGATCCATTTGTCCAAAGACCAAACAATTTTGATTATTCCAACATTTTAGTTATATATAGTGTGACTTTCTGTAACATTTGACTTGAAACATTCCAAGGAGTATCTGGTACAGGTTCCAACCATGTACTTGTGTGCAAAGTACCATGTGACAAGAATAATTGTTGTAAGCATTAAGAATCTAAAAGTTTTAATGTGTTTACTTTAGGGCATTAGAAATGCTAACTCTCAACACCAGGAGAACACACACTCAGACATAGTAAAAGGCATAGGGGTTTGCTACACGCATTGTTGCCAACTGATATAGCCATTTTGCCAAAATTTATGGATAATAAATGCATCATCCAACCAAAATTTTGTAAAACATGCACAGATTTGAGTAATGTCAAGTAATACCTTTCAAAAGCAATGGAGCACCAGCACAAAGTTGATAAAAGATATGGTAGGACCTTTCACCAGCAGCCAACTGCACTACTCTTGACTGCCCAAAGGAGACAAGACCATTTAAGAAGTGGCACATTATAATCATAGAAGTTTCAAACTTAACTTCAGATGGAGCAACTAGTTACCTTCTCCAGCAGAACTACACACAATTATCATCGGTGCATTGAAGTTAACATAGCCATGAGGTTGTGACAGTAGATCAAGTCAGTTACTATATTTCACAGATAACATAAACTAGAGAACCAGAACAGTAATTACTCAATTGAAGCATCTTACAAGTCTGGATTTTAGCGCCACATATCTTCCCCAAGGTGCTAAAGTGAATCTCAATCAATTTCCCCTGAACCCATTACAAGTTAAAATGTTAATTGATAAGTCTAGAAACTTTGTATATCAATGGATCTATAAAGAGAAAAAAAGATAAGCCTAGGGATTCCTTTATGGCCAATAGAAGTTAAAAATTAGAACTTACAAATCGGCTAGAGTTGTCATTCCTGGATGTTTTTGCATTCCCAAATGCTTCAAGTATACAATTTGTCTGAAGGACTTCATGCTCTATCCCATCACTGCCTCCACCAAGAGCAGCCAAGTACTGCATTGCAAATTTTGCTGTCTCTGTCTTCCCAGCACCACTTTCCCCACTGTAAGACAACATTAAAAAAAAAAAATCCACATAAGCATTCAAACTATTTGTAAGACATTGAAGACAAGCTTAAAGATCAAATAAACAAGAAGTCCAGAAGAGGAACACCAATGGAAGTGGCATAAAAGGGGAAAAATAAGGATCCCACTTAACAGAATATTGAAAAGAAAAAAAATTTAAACTAACCTCATAATTATGGATTGATTTACCCCATCTGCATAAAAAATTTACAGCCAAAGAAAAGGGTGTTGGTAACAATTTATGCATGAAAACTAGGGAACTGAATATTTGCTTGGGAAACTTAAAAAAGCACAAAAGAATAAGAGAAGAGAAAAGCTCCCACTCACCTCCCATCATCTCATTATAAGCATTGTCTGCTATAGCATAAACATGAGGACTGTCCGTAACTTTCTGCCTATAAGCTGTGACAACCTTATTTCCATAAATTTTGACATCTTTAAAAGGATTGACAGCAACCAAAACTGGTCCTGCTTTACTCTACAGAAAGGAACACAATAATCAGTGGAAGGAAATTTTGCAATGGAGGGAAAACTCTAAGAGTGGTAGAACTGCACGAGATAGAGATAAATAGCATACTTACATAAATCTTATCCCGAGAAAATCTATAACGTATATTGTGAAGAACTGACGGTTCATTCAAATAACTAAGTTGTCTAAGATCATCCACACCATCCAGTATATCTGGGTTTGCAGGTAAGAGCTCTACAGTTGACACTTTGACAACCTACAGTAACATCCAAACAAAGGTGAACAAACAAAGCACCAACATTAGTACACAAGACTATAAATAATTTTCAACAATATCCAAAACATATGAACTTACATTTCCATTGGAAAGAGAAACAAACGATTCATCCCCTGAGGTGGATTCTATCTTTCCAGACTCCCACTTCCCATTCATGAGAGGACACCAAACTCGTAGTTTCTGAAAACAAGCTACCATCATACACACAAATTTTACAAAATTGATTTAAACCCACAACTAAACAAGTAATTACCTTCTTGATAAAATAACCAATATTATCATCCCACTCTAATTCCCCGTTCCTGCCTGGCTTCAATGCATTCACTTCAAAAGCCTCATTTTTCTTCTCTTCCTCCACCACCACCCCACCATTATATGGTGAATCCACATCCTTTTGTTCTGTCCTCATTTTCTTGCTCACGAAGCTATTCCTCTTCACTCCAAAATCCTTCTCTTTCCTCTTTCCCTCTTCCTTTAAATTAGACTCACTCCTTTCCAAAACACTTTCCATGCCACATTCCCCACCTTTCTCCACTTCAGTTTTGAAGCCAGCGGGCAACGATTTCCTGGCTGACGGAAGCCTTGCCCTCGAAGTGGGCCGTGCAGGCAAGGCTGGAGGCAGGTCTTTGGGCTTCTCAGCCTCATCCCGCCTGCGTAACGATTCCAACATCTCCTCTAACGAACTACGAGCCACCATCGATGGTGACGCGGATAACATCATGGCTGCAGTTCTATAATACAACCCTCAACTTTAAAACACACCTCAAAACGTTGCGGTTACAAAAACCCAAAGATTAGTTTCACTGTCGCATTATTGAAAACAGAGCTCTATAGCCCTGATTCAGATAGAAATATTACAGATTTGAAACTCAATCACAAGTTCTCTGCATTGATTAGGGTTCCTTGAAAAAAAACAGAGGTCAAAAAACGCCAACCATAAACACAGAAAATAAAATGATTCTGCCACTCAAATCAATTTTCTTCTCTTCTCATACGCAGTGCCGATGAAAACTGAGCTAAAAAACCCTAGCTTGAACCAAAATACCGCTATATCTCTGCTCAAATAGTCTTCGCAGACAAAAAATTTCATTAGTGATAGCTTGAGAAAGAGCGGATCATCAAAAACCGAGCTCAAAACCCTTATTTTAATCAAAATATTGCATATTCGCCCCTCGATTCCTCCAAAAAAAACTCAAATTCGACCTCGCATTGTCCAAAACAGAGCTCAAAAACCTGATTAAGATTCAAATTACGTATACAATTAAATAGAAATTATCAATTTGAAAACTGAAGACCAAAACGTAAAGCAAATGTAGAAATCAAAAACACAACGAAGTCTTTGTTTTAGTTTCCGTTTTTGCTTTCGTTTTTGTTTCTGCCTTCGTTTTCTGTTGTTGCACAAAAACAAAACAAAAAAAAAAAATCAATAAAAAGTTAAAAAACTGACCCACTATTAAACTAAAAATTTGCCAAAATGAGAAGGCCGCGTTGGAATGGATTTACTAAATATCGAAAGTTGCGAGGATAAGTTAACAACAAAGAAAAAACCGGAAACTGAAACTAAAACAAACCTTACCGGTCCGGTTTCCTTGTTTTCCGAAAACAAAAAGTTCGAAACCAAACTTATGGCCTCGATATTGTTGCTACTGCTGTTATTTTTGCTTTTGCTTCTCTTGCTGCTAGTCTACTGTTTTTGTTGTGTTGTTTGTTGCTGCTGTTGTTGTGCTTTAAGGTTTCTGCAAGAAAATTGAATTTTCAGGTGGGTGGGGAGGACTCCACATTAGTTTCTTGTGAAAACGGTTTAGATCTGATAAGGGATTTTTTAAATAAAACGAATTAAAAAAAATGTTTTTTTTTTTTTTTTTTTTTTTGTTTTTGGTAACGTGAAAAATATAAAATAAAGTGCCTTTTTTTTTGTTGGAAAGAGAACAAAGAAGAAGACCTCAGTCTGATAAGGAGAAGCAGATTAAGAACCGAAGTACTTTTGGGACATGAAAGCTAAAAGTTGTTTTAAATTAGGGCGGATTTTTGACAATTAATTACGATTTTGGTATTCCGTTTTGAATTTGTAACTGTAATTCCTGTTTTACCCTTTGTCGGGGTTTGTTTGGCAATCTGGATGTACATTGGTAACGTGGGATCTTGGCAAGTATAATATAGAATAGTCAAAATTATTTTCTACGTTAATATTATTTTAAAACTCTTAAATATTATTAAGTGTTAAATAAGGTTTCTATCAAAATATTGTAACACAAAATTTATTATATGAATCTTAGTCATAATTCATATTCAAAATGTTAAGCTGGAATTAAAAAAGTAAAGGAATCAACTTGTTCTTAAATTTATCTGATTATCTAAATTAATTATCAATAAATATGTGTCTCAAAGTCCCACTTTTATGGAAGTTATTAATTTTATTAGTTTTAAATGTATCAACTTAAACATGAAACACACCCTTTTAATGCATATCTAGACGTTATTATATTATTTAAAATATTCATAGTAATTAATTTAATAATTAAGACTTGTCCTAATTAACTATTTTATGTTGAAGACTAGTCAAGGGGGTGGCCTGCGTTAAAGTGGTTTGTTCTCTCATCAAGTTTGTGGATTCAAGCTTGATGCCAATAAACACATAACATTGTGTTGTACGTGTTTAATGGATTCAGGATATTAGTTGGGTGCGCAGAAACTGGATAAACACCTAATTACAAAAAAAAAAAAAAAACTATTTTAATATTAAAATGTTCATTTAGGGCCGCATGAAATAAATTAGATAAATAAACTTAATTTGATTAATGGTTAAAATAATTATCTTACTTTAAGGATAGTTTAAGAAGAAGATCATGGAATTAAAAGGAAACATATTTAAATTAATATTAAATAGAACAATATAAGCTGATATACATATAATAACTAATTAACATATAAGATCAATAGATATTTATATGTCTAAGTATTTTTAGTTTAAATAATAGAAAACATCTTTAAAAATTTACTCTTCAAATTTTAATAGTACATTTTGAACTAGTAAAAAGTCAATTATTAATTAATTATTTATTAACTTTTACACCAAGTGTAGGCGTGTAGCATAATAAGATTACTTATAAGTCATGTATTTGTTGAACTTCTTAACTTAATTTACATGTTCGTTTGCTACAGCTTCTTCAAGAAACTTATAAAAACAGTTTATTCAATAGCATTTGCAGGAGAGCTTTTGTGAAATTTTATAATGTTCGATTGAGAAAAGTAAAAAAGCTTATAATATTAATTTAACAAAAAGGTTTTTTTAATATACAATAATAGATCAAATCAAATTATAAAATGAATAGGGATATTTTAAATTTCAACACTCTAAATGAGCTAAAATTTGAGCTTCTCCCTAAGTCTAAAATAGTTTATTTTAAATCTTATAGCACTTTGAAAGTAACTAAACAATTAAAACATATTTAAAAATGTATAACTTTAATAAGGTTTTTGGTTGATAGATAACGGTTAATAATGTATTGTAAGTTACAACATATCTTGCATTACATATATAATTTCCCGTCTAAAACTAATAAAATTATCAAATAAACCCAAAAGATTATATTCAACCATTATCAATAAAAATAAAACAAATTAAAGATAAATTAGATGATTTAAAATGATAATTGACATAATTATTAATCCAATAGAGGGTAGTACATTTTGCAATTATTGCAATATAATTAACCAATAAGAAGGCAAGTGAGTTTCATTGTATAATGTGGCAATTGTAATGGCCATATATTACAATATTGTAGTTTGTACCATAAGATTTTATTGAAGAATCATGGACCATAAATAAATGATTTTATTAATAAGGGGATTAATTTTTCTTCAACCTAATGAACTTAGACCAATATTAATCATGGACCAAAGATAGAAATCAAATTCAAAATGGTCCTCTCAATAATTACGTTGTATTATGAGTATTATGCTTTTTATACCCAAAATGGCAGGACTGTAAATTCTTTTCAAGCCAAAGGGTATATTGAAGACTTCATCTCACACAAGCGGTGGTTCTGGCGCAACAATCCATCGTCGTCGTGTGAAAACGAAGGGAAATACCAAAACGACGAAACGTTGTTCTTTCTATTTGAAACAATTTCAATTTGACTTGATTTAATATTTTATATTCTTGCATTGAATTATGTGCATCACATGAATACGTAGAGAATTAATAATTCGGTTTTGAATGTGACATTGATTTATTGGAGGGAATTTTTTTTTAATAATTGAAAGTAATTTACAACATACCCATTAATTAGAGATTCTTAAATAACAATCATAAATGTTTGTAAATTTGGAGTGTGTCAATTTAAATATAAAAATATTTTGTTGAAATTTAAATCAACCCGGCTTGAATTGCAATTAAATTGTAGTGACTCACATCATATAATTTATACACAAAAATTTTCAAATTTAAACGTTTTAAAGTTTTAATGTGGTTAAATGATAAGTTTGTGTTACTGCATTGATCTCCTCTAGATGATTAATTAAGTTACGTAAGCTGGTTCAAACTTTAGTAAAAAAAAATAGTAATCATTTTTTTGTATTTGTGAAATAATGTAAATTGTTGATTTTTATTAGTACGTTGATTACTTTAGGATTCTGTACAGAGATAATATCTATAATACTTTTATTCAATATATTTTATTTAATAGAATATGCTTGGGCTTTTTTACACACATTATTAATGTGTAAAATTTTCTAAATTATGAATAAGGGTAATCGGTAATTCAAAAATTAAATAATACACGTAAAAACTTCTGATTCAAACGAGGGGAGATTAATCATAACGGTAACGTGGCCCCCGCCAATTAAGGGCCTTAAAAAAAAGAGGCAAAGACAGATTAAATAATAGATATGGATAAAGTCAACAACAAACTTAAGAAAGCACCTTGTGATAAACTGAATGGACGGGTCGGGCCGGGCTGGAACCAACTAATGCCGGAGATTTGGACTAATGGCTGTTTTATTCCAATTTGCTATTGCTAAAAGTCCCTTTAATTTGTGGTTATGACACTGGGACCCCCATTTGCATTGGGTCCATTTTCGTTGAAGTTAACCAATAGTGGACTTTGTGATTGTTTTGTTCACAATATTCTAACATTAAAGCTAGTTGGTGAGTTGGAATATGTTATTTATTATAACTGTGCTTGATTGTATGTTAGATTATTTCGAGATCCGGCTATTCATGTTTCACAAAGATCTAATTGTATTAAAAAGTTGTCCATAATACTATACTTCTAAAGTAATATCTAACTTGAATCTCAAAACTTTTGAATTAAAGATAATTGTAATAGATATAACTTGTTAAATTATATTTAATACTATATTGAAAATCCGACTGTTTAAAAAGTGATAAGTGCACAGGTAATAGTTAATAAATTTAACTCCAAGGTAGTTAAAGAAATTGTTTCATTTATGAATTTCTGTATGTAAACTTTTGGATCACCTATCATAATATATTGTAACTTCTTTGGTCATTTGGATTTATAGGTATCAATAGATCTTGGGATCAGTTGAGGTACGTGCAAACTGTCCGACACCCCAATTACCAAAAATAATAATAATAACTATATAACTTTTCATTTACAACTGATATCTATAAATCAAAGAGGAAAAAATTTATTACTATTTTAAGTCAAAAAATTTAAGTTGATATAACTAATCTAGTACATAAAATTTATGGGGTAAGTATGTTAATGTAGAAAAATAATAAATTAAGCAGGTTTGTAATACTTATTGTCATAAAAAAATAGTAGATGAAACACCAGAATTTATGAATAAGAAAATAATATTACATTTATTATGTCATGGTAAATGTGTTGATTTAATAATTATAACATTTAGTTCACGAAAAATAGGCAAGAAATTAATGTCATTCTTTATGGAAGTGTAAGTTAGTTATATGTGTGATATAAAATCAATAAAATTAGGTGTCATATATAACAAATTGATATATATTCATGTCAATTATTAGTTTTTTCTGTTATTTATACAATAAATCAAAATGAAATTTAATATAAAAAAAAAATCATTAATTTACTTAAAGGTGTGTTATATTTTGCAAATTTTTAATTTATTTCTTTCGTTTTTTTATGACGAGAGTGTGTCCAAGTCAACTTACACGTACCTCAATTAATCTCCGACTTTAAAACTATCGACAAATAAAAGTTATAGTAAGTAGTGATTATCCCTATTAACAAAAGGAGACATTCGAATTTAAGATATTTTAAATAATATATTCAAAAATTCTATTAAAACACTTAACCAAATATGATAAAAGAAAGGACAATAAGAACTTCGTTAATTACTTAATGGTGTGTGTATTATTACAAAGTTTGCTTTTTACCGAGTTATAGAAGTTCCAAAAGGTTTGAAAATTTGGTGGGTATTTTGAAGAAAGACTCTCTGGATCTGCAAAATCAAAATTACAATAAGATAAAAGAAGGATTGATGATGATGTTTCCAAAATTGAACCCATAAAAAGTAACTCCAAAAAGTTTGTCTGGAATATGATAATTACTAATTCGTCAATTAATTAGCAAAATCAAAGGCTAATTAATTAATTAATCAATTAACAACTTTTTTGCATTAAGCCTACCCTAATTATTTGCCTTTTTAGCTGCTAATCCAAATGATTACTTCATGTTCATCTTCTATGTCGTTTACCAAAATCTCATACCTGCTACTTGCACCTAACCTCACGTTAATGATTTAGGGTTCTTATTTTATGTAGAAAAATATGATTAGATGTATAAAACTACAGCCACAAGTGCTCATATTCATGTATGATCTGAATGATAAATTATTACTT